GGCAGGCCTTTAGGTGGGGCACTGGCAATAGCATTTATATCAAGTCTAAACATGGCATTTGTACAATATACGCTTGTCAGTTTTGCCAACTAAACAGAGTGCAGTTACTGCTTTTGAGTGGTGTTATCATATAAATACACTTGAATTGGGAGGCCTGTTCTATGGATTATATTTCTGTGGGTGTTATGTTATTGAGAATGAGCAGCTCATGTAAATTGCATCGTTTGGCGTCTATTCTAGGCTAAATGCTGTTCTCTAACATCGTAGGCCTAATTCAGATGTGCCTACATCTGTTTAGCCTGCATGAATACATTTGCTGAATTTTGTTCAAGTGTCTGTCATAAATTGAAAGGAGAAAGGTGTTACATCGCATAACAAGCTAGTGTTTTCAAGCAAGGGACCTAGCGCGACACTTCATCATCATCCAGTAAAATATATTATTTTGTAGGCCGGTTATTCTAACTAGCCATGTTTATTCTTAACATCCATTATCCAGAGAAGCATTCTTCTTAATAGGCATCACAACCATTTTTCTTGAGAGCAGCTGGGTATGGTATGCCAGCAGAGGTCAACATAGTTCCACGTTTTCTTTCCCCTGTGCTGTAAATAACTACCAATCCATCAGAGGTCACCAAAGTTCTATTAGATAAAAATCAACATTATAATTAGGGCTCTATTAAATCTGTAAAGCTGAAGTGTTACAGATTCTGTGATAGAAGTTTAAAGGTAATTTCCGATTTAGACGACATAAGCAGTGTTTAGCATGAATGCAGTCTCTGCTAAAATTGGAAACAGTGGAGACTGCTGAGGGCTCATAATACTGGCTGGAATTAAGTGTATTGGCTGGAATGGAGTGAATGCTATCAAACACGTGAAACCATTCCATTCACTCCATTCCGGCCATTATTATGAGCCGTCCTCCCCTCAGCAGGCTCCACTGATCGGGAAAATTGCCTTTAAATTTATATTGCGCTGTAAAGCTGGATTTCTGCCATGCGGATTGAATAGAGCCCGTACTAAACTATGACAATGTTTGCTTTGCTCTTGGCACGGTTTATGGTAGAATCACTTTTTGTTTTTTGGTTTCTTGCCCTTCATTCCTCCTGTTTTCTTTTTTGTTGACTCAGGCCATCCAAAGCCTCTGAACTCCAGACAGTCAACTGCATTGTGGGAAATGTAGTAAACATTCTGCATGGCTGCTGGACTGAGAATGTCCACTTCTGACTTGGTGGCTTTGGCACTGACTGATCTCTTCTTGGATGACCTTCTCCTCTCAGGCTTTTTGACAGGCCTGCCACTGTGTGACCTTGACTTTCTGGATTCTGTTGATTTTCTTAATTGTGTAGGCTGTGGACAAACCATTTGATAATCACTATAGATAACATGGAAAAGTTCATGTTAAGCAGTATGTTCAGTAATGTAGGCTACTAGCTCTACACTGCACCATTGACCAGTGATCAGTGTATGCAACAACTGCATCAAATTTACTGTACCATTGTGTGGACATTCCTCTTCTATATGATTTGTGAGATCATTCATTCTCTGCAAATGTGTCACCAAAGAAACCTGGAAACATCAGGGACATCACACATGGGTTACTTTTACTTTTCAAGTAAAGGATGCATGCCCACATCCCAAACCTTACAAGTTGCAATATGTCATTTTTCTATTAGGTCGTTGTGAACAAGTGAAATGAATTTTTAAATCAAATGAAGTCACACAAATTGAAATAACCTAGAATTGTAATAGAAATAGTTATGCTTACCAACCTTTCCGTGTAAAAGTCTGGCAGAGAGACGACATCCCATGAGTTTGTATCCTGTTGTCGTAGAGACTAGGCTTGTTCTTGGTGTTTGAATAGGCAGCCGCTTTTACAAGGTTGTCCCCCTTCTCTGTGCTGCTGGGCATGGCGTTAGTTGCTGTCTCACATGTCCTTTGTCTCCCACAAAGAATGTCTGTTTACATCACCATGGTAATCTGCTGATTATCTCCTGGCATCATGAATATTATATTACAAAAACACCATTCCTTATTGACAATCAATAAATAGACCTATACCAAAGGGGGGAAACTATTTTGCTTACCGTTTTAACTTTGGGATAAAAACAAAAAACACTTTCATACAAGAAATCATCACGTATTCTCACACTACCTGATCTCCAGGAAAACCTTATGTGGAATGCACATAAGTCAGACAACACTATCCTGAATAGGTTGTAAAAAGGGTGTAGACTTCCTAAACATTATCCATAGAAAAATGTATACTAATTAAAACCAGTGATCTCTTTATTTAGAAAATACAGTATATGAAGGTCAGAATTATCTTACAAGTTTAAACTCTGATATTATAATATGTCCTTCAACAGAATAATGCCTCTGTACAGGACGGTGATTGCACATACCCCCCTGAACAAAATCAATATTATTATAATCACACTGTCCTATAATTATGACAAAACACACACATAGCAACATCCAAACACTGCAAAACACATCCTCCAACTGTGCCAGAACTCAAACATACATATGTACTGTAGAGTATTTCCAGTGATTGTACAATTTCAGGTAGAAAAAGAGATATTGCATTGTTTTGAATGAGAGATGCTCTGAGTAAGGCATTCATTTATAATCAAAACTGGCACTCATTACTTTGGCACATGAGATTAGGGTTTCTGAAATAAAGTTGTGAGTAACTGCAACGAAAAGTGTAAAGAAATTATCAACATTGTGTTAGATTACTGTATGTACCAATCCAAGTGTAGACTACTTTTCAATGCTTACATTGTTATTACCATGTTATTGCAAGTCCACCAGTTGCATTCATACTTACATACTGTATAGGTATTGAGGAGGAAGCCATAGTTGTACAACCTGAACTTTATAATTATTGTACATACTGAAAACCTGAGAACCTCAAGATAAGCAGTTATTTTGAAAGCTTTTGCATTCAAGAAAACCCAGAAGTAAAGGCCAAATGGCTTTCTCTTCACCTGTGTGGGACAAACTTGACATGTCTTTTGAGACACTCCAGAAGCACATGGTGCTGATTCAATAGACAAATGTATGTGCTTTTACCAAAACGCCCTACATATACCAATCGTGAGTGGGAGTACATTTTGAATGTGTTCTAAAAACTGAATTTTACATAAGTCACGTCAAAATATTGTATCAATTTCAGAATACAGCTTTAAATATGACATGTTCAAACAGAAATATAAAACTGCAGCCATGCACACTTAGTTTCCACAAAGAAGCACAATTCAGTTACACAATCAATGTTCAATACAAAGATAATACAACAAAGTACATCTCAGCCGCCTACACAAAATCCCCGGAGAGAGATACTAAAGACTACAGTAGATAGTATGAAAAAGTGACCATGATCATGTCTTATGTGCTTGTGTCATCAGAGAATGTTCCATAACCTTCAGAGAAAGTTACGGAACACTCAACAGAGAATACTTACTGGCCTTGACAGGCCAAGGTAGTTGTCATAAAAATCAGCATCATTGTGTGACAACTACTGTGTATTCAGCGAGGGAAATCATAGCCTCACAAGGATACTTGTAGCCCTTCAGCCGTTGTGCTGTTATTCAAAATTGGCTGCTGTGCTGCTCTGTGGAAGCGGGGAGGTGGACTGAGGGCTGAACCAAGACAGCCATGACACCTTTGGGAGGACAGAGAGTGAAGCACACAGGACTCCTCAGGTTCCCAGAGGGAGTCAGGGACACTGCCCTCGATTTACCCATAGACAGCCTTCCCACGTTGGGCCGATGAACCCCCTCCAGCCTCCCAATCCCTGGTCAAACTTCTCCAACCCTCCTCCTCTCTCTATTCTGCCTCCCTCTATCCATTGCCCTCTCTTCGCACAGGGAGATGTATGAACCTTTGACTGTGTGCCTATCATTCCAGTGCAGGATCTGTGTTCTTATTTTTCTCATTGTTGGACATAAAAAACTGTAAAAACACCAGGAAATCAGCTCAAAGTGATTTTAATTTTGGAAATCTGTTCCCAAGTATTCCCACGCATAATAGAGAGACATGATCGTATACAAATGTAAGCAAGTTTTGAAGTTATTATCTTAGTCAAATACTATATTTGTTTGGGCTTTTTGCGGTCAATTTGATGTCTACAAATTATTTGTAATTATAAATTAATTATGTTGCCGCCCCCCAACCATCCGCTCAAGAAAAAAAATCGTCCCGCGGCTGAATCTAGTTGATGATCCCTGAGTTACAGGAATATCTGTTTCTGATTACATACATTAAAATACTATTAATCTACAAAGGGGAAAAGTTGTTAAATACTCCCTTAAAAGCTCAGTGCAGTCAAAAATGTGATTTTCCTGTGTTTTATATATATTTCCACACTTTGAGGTTGGAATAATACTATGAAAATGATGATAATGCCCTTTAAACATAAGAGCGGTTTCTTCCTGTTGTGGTGGGATGGAGTTTTGGTCTGCCTGGTGACATCAGCAGGCGGTAAATGAGTTAATAAACCAATAAAAAAAGAGAGTTCCAAACCTGTCTGCCAATAACAGCTAGTTTTCCCCCTCCCTACTCAGACCACTCCCAGACAGTCCTAGCAAAATCCTTGCTTGAGAAATTGCTCTTTGCTAAGAAGCTATTTTTGTATATTTTTTTACCATTTTAATTTAAAACAATCACAGTAAGGTACTTAATTGTTAGTCTGTTAATATACAGTAGTTTCTTTCCAAAAAGGCAATTTTTCTAGAAATATATATCAACCACAATATAATCTGCAGCTATGAGATTTACACACTAAAACATAATGGCTGTGATCAGAAATAAATACACCTGTAAAGCATAACATAAACTAAATATCGTGCTGGTACTTAAATGTACATCTTCATTAAAAAAAAGGACATGCCGTGGATGTAAAATGAATTATTCCACAAAGCACAGAAGATAACCAAATTTACATGAAGATCACAGTAGTCGTAGGCTTGTGTCCCTGGTATGTGTGTCCTCCCCCCTCACTGGGCCTGTTGTAGTAGGCCCTCCCATTGGATAGGCTGTGAAAACACTTCTCTCTCCAGCCACATTTCATAGCTGTAGTGGAAGTCCTCCGGCAGTTCAACACGCTGGCCCAGAACGCTTTGCAGGCAGTTGTCCACCGGGGCGAACTCTCCGTTCTGGTTCTTCTCATAGCGGCGGCTGTTGAACTTCTCGATGCTCTCCCTCAGGGCGCACTCCTCTGCCTGGAAGTCCCACGGCCTCGCGTCGATATCTGGAGGACAAAAGAACAACAACAACAGTCTATTAACTTGATGAACAACACCACATAACCCTTTCCCTTGTCTCTGTCGATTTTCTGTTTGGAATATACATTTTATACTGTTGTTAAAGGACAATAGACCTCAATAATCAATCAATACAAAGAAAACAGTGAAGTCTGGGATTGCAATTACAGCAGAGGGACATGTGGGACCAAGGGATCTCTCTCCTCTCTTGCTCTCTGCCTATCTGGTCCATTGAGAATAGAACCTGAGACATGTGATGACAGACAGTTGTCTCTTTCTCTGAGGGCCTCTCACCCCTAGCTGACCCCTGGTTGGGTTACTATGGCAACACATCCTTAGTTACCGGCCTTCATCTTACTGTAGTTGGGTGATTGGACTTTCAGTTACGGAGATCCTAATCAAAGGCATATACAGTTGAAGTCGGAAGTTTACATACACTTAGGTTGGAGTCATTAAAACTCGTTTTTCAACCACTCCACAAATTTCTTGTTAACAAACTATAGTTTTGGCATGTCGGTTAGGACATCTACTTTGTGCATGACACAAGTAACAATTGTTTACAGACAGATTATTTCACTTATAATTCACTATATCACAATTCCAGTGGGTCAGAAGTTTACATACACTAAGTTGACAGTGCCTTTAAACAGCTTGGAAAATTCCAGAAAATTATGTCATGGCTTTAGAAGCTTCTGATAGGCTAATTGACATCATTTGAGTCAATTGGAGGTGTACCTGTGGATGTATTTCAAGGCCTACCTTCAAACTCAGTGCCTCTTTGCTTGACATCATGGGAAAATCAAAATAAATCAGCCAAGACCTCAGAAAAAAAACTGTAGACCTCCACAAGCCTTGTTCATCCTTGGGAGCAATTTCCAAACGCCTGAAAGTACCACGTTCATCTGTACAAACAATAGTGCGCAAGTATAAACACCATGGGACCATGCAGCCATCATACCGCTCAGGAAGGAGACACGTTCTGTCTCCTAGAGATGAACGTACTTTGGTGCGAAAAGTGCAAATCAATCCCAGAACAACAGCAAAGGACCTTGTGAAGATCCTGGAGGAAACAGGTACAAAAGTATCTATATCCACAGTATAACGAGTCCTATATCGACATAACCTGAAAGGCCGCTCAGCAAGGAAGAAGCCACTGCTCCAAAACCGCCATAAAAAAGCCAGACTACGGTTTGCAACTGCACATGGGGACAAAGATCGTACTTTTTGGAGAAATGTCCTCTGGTCTGATGAAACAAAAATAGAACTGTTTGGCCATAATAATGACCATCGTTACGTTTGGAGGAAAAAGGGGGATGCTTGCAAGCCGGAGAACATCATCCCAACCGTGAAGCATGGGGGTGGTAGAATCATGCTGTGGGGGTGCTTTGCTGCAGGAGGGTCTGGTGCACTTCAAAAAAAATGGATGGCATCATGAGGAAGGAAAATTTGGTGGATATATTGAAGCAACATCTCAAGACATCAGTCAGGAATTTAAAGCTTGGTCGCAAATGGGTCTTCCAAATGGACAATGACCCCAAGCATACTTCTAAAGCTGTGGCAAAATGGCTTAAGGACAACTAAGTCAAGGTAGTGGAGTGGCCATCACAAAGCCCTGACCTCAATCATATAGAACATTTGTGGCAGAACTGAAAAAGCGTGTGCGAGCAAGGAGGCCTACAAACCTGACTCAGTTACACCAGCTCTGTCAGGAGGAATGGGCCAAAATTCACCCAACCTATTGTGGGAAGCTTGTGGAAGGCTACCCAAAACGTTTGACCCAAGTTAAACAATTTAAAGGCAATGCTACCAAATACTAATTGAGTATATGTAAACTTCTCACCCACTGGGAATGTGATGAAAGAAATAAAAGAAATAAAAGCTTAAATAAATAATTCTCTCTACTATTACTCTGACATTTCACATTCTTAAAATAAAATGGTGATCCTAACTGACCTAAGAGGGAATTTTTACTAGGATTAAATGTCAGGAATTGTGAAAAACTGAGTTTAAATGTATTTGGTTAAGGTGTATGTAAACTTCCGACTTCAACTGTAGTATGTACCTACTGCATTACATTCACATTCATCATCACATTCCGATTCGTTGCATAGCTTTCACATCTCCTACACACCAGTGAATTAAGAGTTTACTTCAGGTATGCGTTTAAAAGTGTATTTCCTCTGCATCTTACCATTGCCATAGGCCCAATCGTCATTGAGCCTGTGTCGTACTTTCTGGTAGATGGCTGACATGGTCTTCATGTTGCTCTTCCTCCACTGGCGGCCCAGGTACTTGGTCTGGATCTTGAGCAGCTTGAGGACATATAGCTGCATCATGGCCTGTTTGACCTTCAGCGCCCTCTTCAGGATGGGAGCTGACTTGAACACCACCAACATCTGAGAGAGGAGGAGGAGAAGGAAGAGAAGGACACTGAGTGCATCTCAAAAGCGTCCCGTCACAAATCTTTGAATTCCAAACTGACCCCTAGCCTGTACTCCCTAGGCACTCTTGTAGATCTGAAAGGATTTGATAGGTTCTACAAGTGGGCATTGAATAAGGGACATACAGTATGATGCTAGAGAGAGAGGCAAGACCAGGTCTCGCTCACCATGGTCCTGGAGTGTTTCCACTTGGTCAGCTTGTTGAGGATCCTCAGCAGGTTGATGCAGGAGAAGAGATTCCGCCAGCAGAACTGATTACTGTCTCCAGCTTCCTACAACCACAGGAAACAACAGGGTTAGGAGAATTGAAACGCCCACAAAGAATACACATTAAACGGCCTACTATTTAGGATGGGTATCCGGACACGGCCAGTGTCTAATCTCAGCCAATTGATAAACCAAACCCATAGCCATGTCTTTAACATTTGAACAGTCTGATGTAAACACATGGGTTTGTGATCTGGACTCACCAAGCTCTCAGCCGTGAGTTCAGGCATCTCGTGGACCACACAGTGAGGGAAGTCCAGCACACATATACTACAATGAGAGCACACAGAGGAGATCACACACACAAAAAAACGGATTATTACAGCCTATCTTTCTGTCAACAGTGGTGTTATACCTGTCATTGAGGTGTGAGAGACACATGTACCATCCACACCTGAACCCCTTGTGTTTTGGCACCTCCACCTAAACCCTGCAGCAACCTGTGTCTTTTATAAGCAGGAAATAAAAACCTGCCAGACAGAAGCCATGCCTTTATGTGGATGCAGATGGAAGCCATGCCTTTATGTGGGTGCAGATGCACCTCTGGCACTGTGGCAGAAATTAAGTGGTAGTCAGTTCTAGTCAGTGAGTCCTACCTGTTTTTGGCACTGATGTAAGACATGATGTTCTGGTTGAAGAACTTGAGGATGAGCGGGATGCAGTTAGCGAACACCAGGTGTTGAGAGACAATCTCAAACTGAAGAGAGAGAGAGAGAGACACAGGAAGTACAAGGTCACTGCAAAGTCACTGACTGTCTTTAGTGAACAAGAACCATGGAGGACAAGATAAAGCACTAAGTCACACTGGCCCTTTAATTCCTAATAAGGAAAAATTCATAGCTATTAAATAATAAAATATTAATCCTCCAACCCCAAGTCTTTCTATCTTTCATGAGCAGCCTGCGGAGTTCAGGAAGTGCGATTTCTCCTCTTTTATACATTCTATGCAATCGTTTACTATCATCAAAAGAATGTTCAAGACCACTTTTTATTAGCACAGCTACTATTATTCCTGTATGCATATGAATTCAAAGTAGGAACTATGATGAGCATTCTATCATCATCATTTTGAGGTGAGAAAGACACTCTGAAATGACAACCCCTCTACACTCTCACAAGGGGAATGAGGGGGGTTCCAAAAAGAGGATTTAGCCAATCTGCTCTCCCTATAGGTACTCAGCTCTGCGCCACGGCTGTCTAAGAGCCAGCAGGATAGGAGCCATAGGAAGACTCATTTAACCCTTTCCGTCAGCTGGGTTCTGCAGTTGCATTAATAAGTATTTGTAACAAGCTTCATTTGAGAGTTGGTAGTGGGAAATAAAAGTGAAAGTGATCCTTTTGGGCAGTAGATAGCGCTACTATAATATTACATCCAGCTATGTTCATCCTATTAAATGGGGAACCAGCTCCTTTTTCATTTAGGATTTGACAGAACAGTCCTGACATGCTGCCAGGTATGGGATGCAGCCAGGTATAAGCACACTATTCTCAAAAGAGCAGATGCTCCATTTCTCTGTGAAGACAATTCACTACCGTTCAATAGTGGTGGCGTGCCAAACAGTACATCTTGAACCAATCCCTTTTGAAGGAGCATGATTTTGAGTGCTGAAGAGAGACACACTCTCTCATCTCTGGGAGAAGCAGCAGTAGGAGGACAATAAATGAAGCTAATCTCCCCAAAATAGGAATTATAATCCTCCTTTACAAGAGCAGATTTTGGAGGGAGCTCAGCTTTGCATTTTGGGAGATGGATAGTGCTGCTATGTACCCATTTATTGTCTGATGGTACTTCTCCAACCCTCCTCCTCCTCCTCCTCTCTCTCTCTCTCTATTCTGCCTCCCTCTATCCATTGCCCTCTCTTCGCGCGGCGAGATGTATGAACCTTTGACTGTGTGCCCATCATTCCAGTGCAGGATCTGTGTTGTAGGCTGCCAGGAGCCAAATGGATGGGGGCAGGGAGAGGAGATGAGAGAGACGTGGTGGTGAACGTGGAGGGCAGGGAGAGGAGAGAGAGCAGAGGCTGACCTGGTTGAGGTGGGGGTGGGGGGCAGAGAGAAAGAGAGCGAGACAGAGAGTGGAGGCTGACTAAGTGTGTGAGGGTGGGAAAGGTGTGTTGGGGGGAGAGATCAGTGATGTAGTGGTTAAAAAAATAGGTGGATAAACTGATCGCTGGTTGAGGTGAAAAAAGTAACTCTTCCTATACTTTCAATGCATTTTCCCGCAAAAGTGGTTAAACTGCGTTTACCATCAAATACACCACTGGAAGAGATATGCGAGAGAGCAGCGGCAGACCTGAGGGGGTGGGGGAGAGGGAGGGATGGAGAGCAAGAGAGAGGCTGACCTGGTGTGTGAGGGTGGAAAGGTGGGAAACAGAGAAGGAGAGAGACAGAGGTAGAGAGAAAGAAAGACAGATAGTGGTAGTAGGTGGCTTACTTGGTAGATGTGATTGAGTTTGAGGTGCTTGAGCAGCAGCAGCAGAAGTGCAGAGATGGCCTTGACGATGATCTCCTTATGTCTGTTCACGTCAATACCCAGCTTCATGCTCTGGAGGACCGTGATTCTGCCATCACACACACACACACCTTTTATGTGATTCATAGCAACAACTTCCTTTGACATGATACATCTATAGTCATTCACTTTATTTCTGAACAAACTAAATTCATTTCCTTCTTATTGCCATCACTCAACTTAAGCCTGAACAGCAAAGATGACCGTGAGGGAACAAGGAGAGGCACAAAGCTTTTACACTTACGGCATCTCCTCTGGCAGCACATCAGCCAGTATATTGATGGAGTCCGTCTTGGCCTTAGACGTAGGTGCTGCAGCCAGTAGCAGCTTCAAAAGGGCAATCTGATAAATACAACATGGGTTTTAGCTTTCAACCTCTCAGCTCTGAAACATTACAGGACTATACAGCAAATACTTCGTAAAAATCTACAGTGCAGGCATGATTTTCGAGATGCAAAATAAGATGATGCCATGTGAAGTGTCTTGGTGGAGCAGAATATAATGGCAGATGTCCTCACCACATACTGAGACAGGTTAGGAAGCATTCCCAGATACAGGATCTCTATTGGGGTCTCGTCCACATCCTCTTCTCCCTGACCAACACAACACCACACAATATGAGTTACACACGGTTTATAGTCATCTTGTTTCCATTCACAAAGCCCTGTTCCAACACTTAGAAAATGAAGGATCATATTATTATGTTACCAGGTTAGTCTCATTGAGATTCAAAATCTATTTTACAAAATAGAAACAAAGTTTCATTACAAAGACACATTTACAACATAAAACACAAAGCACTACAGTTTAAAAATATAAATGTAGACATTGAGCAGACAAGATGCTTTGGGGAGGTGTGGTGCAACTAGGGGTCAAAACATTGATAGCCCCCCCACTTCATTGTCCAGTATAGTTTTAGCCTAGCGTTAAGCTCATTCAAATAGAGGAGCTCCTGTAATTTCATATAAAGTCAACAGTAAGAAGCGTCACTGACCAGGGTCATGGGGCACTGTTGAAGCTCCTCTTCCCTCTTGATCTGCATCTCGGCTATGGAGACATATTTGTGCTGGAGGGAAAAGAGAGCATGGGGTTGGATATGGTGATTTAGCCTATACTCCACCACCACACAATATAAAGCACTATGAGAATTAGTGAAAAGCACTTCATAACCACAATCCATTCCATTCTATTCCAATGAGACATCACCATGGCTATATACTATAGTATTCTGACATTATCACTTGTCAGGCAGCGCCCGATGTGTAAACAGAAGAGGCTTTTAACGGGCGTTAATTAGACTTCACAGATTGACACACAGAAGGGCATTCCTCAGTGTAAGGGAGTTTCACAGTCAGTTCAAACACACAACTGATTTCTAAGTGGGATGTCAATGTCCAGGAATATTGACTAGCTGGTCAAATAAACGTCAATACTTCATCACCAGTATAACACTCGATCCTGGTGGAGAGAGAGGAATGGAGGGATTCAGATGAGAGGGGGAGTGGGTGAGAGGATAGAGGAGGAATGATAAGAGTGATTTCTCTCCTCCTTACCTGTTTAAGGGTCTTCACACTCTCGTGTATGGGTCTAGGAAGACCGACCAGTGTCTCTGTGTCACTACAGAACATACATAGCATCACTCAGCACAGCAACAGAGAGAGAACATTCACTGGCACTGCAATAACTATGACCACACATGGCAGTGTACTACATGGAGCGAGCCTTTCAGATAGAACACAGTGATAGTGACACTCACTTTCCCAGAGTGAAGCCGATGAACTTGTTCCTGCTGGTCTCCAGGAAGTGCTCGATGTCTTTCTCTCTGTGGAGAGGGACAAGACCAAGACCAAGACACACACACAGACAGACACACAGACAGACACACAGACACACAGACACACAGACAGACAGACAGACAGACAGACAGACAGACTTAAAGACAGACAGACAGACAGACAGACAGACAGACAGACAGACAGACAGACAGACAGACAGACAGACAGACAGACAGACAGACAGACAGACAGACAGAAAGAAAGAAAGAAAGAAAGAAAGAAAAGGTCAGGCATCTCAAATTACCTGAAGCCTGCTGCACCTCACTAACCCCCTGTCTGAGATCCACCTTCTCACTGATCACACTACTAGACCTACTGGGTTTCCTAGTCTGGCTTCCCAGGATTGTAGCGATACTATCCAAACAGACTGCTCAAAGACATAAGGCTGCTAACCAGATGATGCATCTCCTCACACTTTGCCGAAATGTTACCCACAAACATCCATCTTAGAGCGTTTACACACACACTTTAGTGTGCCCTGTTGGCTGCTTAAAGCCTCATCAGTCACGCTCGATGCGGCCTCTGTACTCTGTGGGATATTGGGATCTGGAACTCCGCCTCATGTGCTAAATCAGCCCAGCACTACGCTATGGTTCAAGGGTAAACGCGCACACGCACACACACACATCTGTTGGAGTGAATAATACATGAGTTTACAGATAATGAGTAGAGGATGATAAGCGCTGAGACTGGATCGCTCGCGGCCCTCCTTTCCTTGCCTCCCCTGTCTCCCTCTTCCCTCTCGGTCTTATCCACACAGCTGCATTATTCATGTCCCTAAGTCTACAAACACACACTGGAGAGATAGGCCACTTTCACTAATGTGTAGACAGCTGGCTGTTACTTTATGAGTGACTGAGGTGGGTTACTTTGAGTTCTCCTGAACAGAGGGGGCACTATCAGCAGTATGAGTGTGTAGAATAACAAAACATTTTTTTAAATGTTATCCCTTGAGTTTGCAGATCTGAGGTAAGCAATAAGGTGATAGATCCACCCTGCCTTCCGATGGTTTTTGGGGAGCTTCAGCTATATTACACCTATCCAATCCCTTCAGATCTGCAAACACAGAAGGGTTAAGAGTTATGGCGAGGGGCTAGAGGTTTGTTTGGAACTGGGCCTCCCAGTCTTACCTGACTTTGGGTGCCCATGGCAGACCCTTGGGGAGGGACGCCCTCTCAGTGGGGGGTCTGAGCGGGGGCGGTGGGGGTGGTGGCTGGATGATGACATCACGGTCCAGGGGGTCCACCTCGCCCTCGATGCTGCTGTCGGCTTCCTCTCCATCCTCCTCCTCGTCGCGTGCATCGTCGTTCTTAAAGGGGTCGCGCTCGTTGTACGTGTCTAGGCTGTCCTGCTTTACCAGGGGCTGGAACCCAGAACAACCAGCAGGGGGCATGAAAGAGGCCGTCCCCTTACACACACAGGGTTAGGCCCTGGCTTTCCACTTCAACCACAAGAAATACTCAGACTTACCTACCGTAAGGCTGCACTCCAAGACAAAAGGTTACAGATACTCGCACAAAAAAACCTGAGGAACGTTTGGGCCCAACTCCATATTCAAGCGTTAAACATTCCACTTACAACCACATCAGTCATACAACACAAACCCAGTAACCTCAAACCACTTCTATAGTTTTAATGAATGACTGAGGCATCGTCAATGCAACAAGCATCAGGCAGGGGGGGGGGGGGTGCATTTAATAGCAGCGAAACACCAGTGCAATGTAACGTATGGTGGTGTGGTGGTAGTAACTAGTCGTCAGGTAGAGTGTGTGCTGCTGAGGAGAGCAACAGAGGTGACAGAAGCAGTGTGACCAGCATAGACTTATATGACTCATATCCCATGGAGAACAAGCCATTCAGCTATGTGGTGAGAAAGAAGCTGCAGTGAACTGTTGGCTACAGTGATACTGTGGCAGCTAAACAACCTAGTGGAGATGGAGACTAGAGGAAAGCTCCAAGTCATGTCCACAATGACCTCCATGACCACAGCAAGCCCTGTCTCTCTGTACCCACCCATACAGTGCAGAACGCAGTGAAGGCGGACAAAGAGGATAAAGAGAAGGAGGAAGAGGAGGAGTAGGAAGAGGACAAGGAGGAGGTAGAGGAAGAAGAGGAGGAATAAGAGGAGAAGAAAGAGGAATAGAAGGTGCAAGAACCAGCCCAAGGCAGAGAAAATGCAGAGGGAAAGTGGGTAAAGACCTGCTTCTTGGGAAAGGGACTGTCTCCTTCCAAGCTATCAACAAAGGCACTCTGTAGGGACACAAGGAAGAGGAGGTGGGTTGAGAGCCCGATGAAGTCAGAGCTCTAATCTAAAAACAGCACAGTTAGGATTAGAGGAAGAAGTTAAAGGAACGAACATGTCATTCATTCCACTGTCAGGGGAATACAGTATTACAGTATACTGATGGTGTGCACATGGTTCCTATTCACATTCTCTACTGCTATAGCCAGGCTGAGCAATCAATGCTTGTTAGCCTCACACACCATGCCCTCTGTGACTGCAGGGGTTTAGTTAGGCTCACTGTTAGAACACATCAGGTGTGTATTCAGTCAAGTGTGAGTCTAACGCACAGGTGTGTGTATGTGAAAAGCTCAAGGAACAGTGTGTGTGTGTGTGTGTACAGTATGTGCATAATGTAATGATTGTATAATACGTACCCTGCGGCTGCGGCGTCCTCTCTTGGCCTGCTGTTGCTGTTCTATGAGCTCCATGGCCGAGGCTGGAGGAGAGGCTGCTCTCATGCTCCGGACCACCTTGATGCTGTCCTCAGGTAGGGGGGGCAGGCTCAGCCTCTCTCTGCCTCGAACCTTCATCTCCTGGAGCTCCTCGAAGCCCCCCATTGTGAACTGTAACACACATACACACAAAGATTGAGATGGACACATACACAGAGACAGATGGACACAGAAAGCCATAGAGATGTACATGAACACACATGCACAGAGCTCTATGCAGATATTGGCAAACCAAATTTTCCATTGTGGAATTAGTCTAGCCTGACACTACTTTAGCATTCTAACATCATTCTAACAAGTGTTTTGAATTTACAATAGATTATAACATAATGGTGGATGAAATATCTCCGTTACGAAGCTGCTAGCCTACTAAACGGACAGGTATTGGTGTCTGTGCTGTAGCTTACTGACCAGGATGGTCTTCCAGAGTAGCAGCAGGACCTTCTTCATGGGAAAGTGTGGAGCGTTCATACTGCAGAACTTGGTCACCATGGTGAAGAGCAGCAGGGCAAATGGCTCTCCGTTATACAGAGGAGAACCTGAGGTTAGAGGAAAGGGTCAACAGCCAGCACACATATACAGTACACACATGGCACACATACAGCGCACACACTGTAAAAACATTTCCTGTATAATTTACAGTAATTTACTGGCAGCAATTGGCCAGTAAGTTACTGTAATTTATTTTACAGTACAGCTACGGTAATCCATTTTACGGTACCAAAAGTCAGTTACTGTAATATAAATTACAGTACCAATTACAATATATTACTGTAATTACCCAGTGACATATTAGCCAGTGTTCTTTGCAAGTTTTCATTTTAACATTAAAATGTTGGTCATTTAGCAGGCGCTCTTGTCCTTAGCAACTTACAGTCGGTGCATTCAACCAAGGTTGAGAATTTTTTTATCAAAGTCATAGCATGTAAAAAGTTTCTGTAACCGTTACTGAAAATATTGTTGTAGTTAAGGATACACTGGTCTTCAAAATAATTGTAATTAAAACAAGATATCTTATGATATATCTCTGACTATCTCTGGATAGTGCCAATACATTACTGAGATATTCAGGGTAACTTGACGCCAGCTTCCTGTAAATTACTATAATGTCAAAGAAATGAAACACAGTACAATACTGTAAAGGTGACTAATAAACTGTAAGAAAGTAATATTTACAGTATTTTACTGTAATTACAAGGGAATGGAGCAAGAAGGTTGGCTGCTAGGCATTTGAATATTACAGCATATTGATGAATACTAGGTGTTTCATATCACTTGCACTTCTAGAGGCCTAAACAAAGGTTTCCAAACTCGCCGTGATTACAGGGCAGAACAGATCAAATGGACATGCTTAAATATTCAAACATTAAAGGTTTAAGACCCGCTGCCACTCTGATCTTGTCTGGCAGACACTGATCTGTTCCCTATATACATTTAATTGTTAGGGAACCACTACCACATTTCAGTTAAATTCGTACAGCATTCTCACTAACGGGCGCAACAAATATAGCCTCTTAAAAGACACAACTCAAAATATGTTAATGAGTCAGAAACAACAATACCATGCACCCACTTGTGCTCAAAAGGTTTTTGGCGCTCCAAGAATGCATTATGGTACTGTATTCTGAATTATAGTCAATTAATGGAAGCAATTGGCCAGGAAGTTACCATAGATTTTCAGGACAAGGTTTGTAGAATTCCTAAAATACAGTATATTACTGTATTCTGTGGCGGTACATCATTCTCACTCATGGGCGCAACAAATATAGCCTCTTACAAGGCAGACATTAACATACTGTATGTTAATGAGCCAGAGACTCTTTCCCCGCTCACAACATTAACCCAAGATGTACCATAATTAATTCTGTAAACACATTTAAGGTATTTTACTGTGCATTTCACAGTGTTTTACTGTTGAAATTAAAGAAAAGTCTTACAGTGTGCTGTAAAACACAGTTACGGTATTTTACTGTGCATTCTACAGTGTTTTACTGTTGAAATTACAGAAACGTCTTACAGTGCACACACACACGCATGCACACACACAAACACAAACCCAGTTCAGTCTTGAAGGCCTCTCTGGCAGTTCTCCACTCTGGCCTGTCGTCCTCTGTCTGCAGACGGATGGTCTCCACCATCAGGTACATGATGCTTAGCAAGACCCTAGTAGAACACAAGATGTCAGAGGTCAGAATGAACAGGTGTGTGCATGTATGCATCAAGACAAATAGGTCAAGACAAACAGGTCAAGACAAATAGTCTGTAAGCTACTGAGGTAGAACAGCTCTCCACTCTAAAAACATAACTATGTGTGCCTGTGCATACATTATGTCTGCCTATGTGTGGTTTGTGTGAATCTGTAAATGTGTGTGTGTGCATACTTAATACTCTTGTACACGTTTCCACATGAACTTGCCTAGCTAATGCATCAGCCTAAATCACCCTACAGTAATTAAACAACGTTAGCGAGGCAGTGTCCTGTGCATTTAACGCCTTCAGACGGAAAACAAGCCATAACGGCCTTCATTTTCTACAAGCTATTAGGACGTGTTATTTGGTTTTCCACTCTATTAGGACAGATCTGTTATCACAACAGATCATTACTGGGGGAGGCACACAGAGAGCTGCCTAGACAGAGTGGTAGAGATGGGATGGGAGGAACAGGTGAGGGTGGTAAGTAATTATCAGTCTATGGAGGTCAGTGAGGGATTGACTGTACAGTCTGGTACACTGGTACTTTAGAGTCTGGGCTGAACTGGTACTTGAGACTCTGGGTTGGGGGAGTGAAATGTCAAGTGGTTGCTGGAGTAGTGGGGTTGAAAACCACTCCTTGGCTTGGCTGATTGGGGGACTGCTGTAAAAATCAGTGAGGTGCAAAGATGCTCACCTGAGTTCTGTGCTGTCTGCCAGAGAGATGGCAGGTTTCCTCACTGCACTGCTGCAGGCTTGGTTGTTACTGTCGAACACAGAAGCAGTTTAGCATACATACAGTACAAATCATACCACACCACAGCTAAACATAACAGACTAGAGATATCGCTAATGACTAGGACCTGGTCAGGTCATGGGGTCAGGAAGTTCTCATTTCCTATAACTGCAGTGACAAAGACTAGAATGGCGATGGAATGTATAGTGGCAGTTTTTTGTTTGTTTTTTTGCGCTGATCTTAACTTTGTTAGTACATGATGCTTTCCGCCATCATTTCCTATGACCGAAAAGAGCTTTTGGACATCAGAACAGCGATCACCAACCTCGATTTGGATGAAGATTTCTACTTCAACGGGTCGGCGGCTCAGGACATACTGCTCACCCTAGACCAGGCTCTATTCCCTGACACTCGGAAAAGAAAGAGACTGCGATATAGAGGCAGACGTGCCGGCACCCTGATGAAACTACGGCAGCGAGTAAATAAACCGCCTCTACCCTCTGTTCTATTGGCGAATGTACAATCACTGGAGAACAAACTGGACGAGCTCCGTTCGAGACTATCCCATCAACGGGAACTGAAGTATTGTAATATCCTATGTTTCTCAGAAACTTGGCTGAACAAGGACATGGATGATATAAATCTAGCTGGATTTTCTATCTAGGTGGCGTGTCTCATTGTTAACAACAGCTGGTGCACAATCTCTAATATTAAAGGAAGTCTCGAGGTTCTGCTCGCCTGAGTTAGAATACCTCATGATAAACTGTAGACCATACTATTCACCAAGAGAGTTTTCATCTATATTTTTCGTAGATGTCGATTTAACACCACAAACCAATGTTGGCACAAAAACTGCACTCAATGAGCTGTATAGATCCATAAGCCAACAAGTAAATGCTCATCCAGAGACCGCACTCCTAGTGGCCGGTGTTTTTAATGCAGGAAAACTAAAATCAATTTTATCTAATTTCTACCAGCATGTCACCTGTGCAACTAGAGGCGAAAAAACTCTAGATCACCTTTATCTACACACAGAGACGCATACAAAGCTCTCCCTCAACCTCCATTTTGCAAATCTGACCATAACTCCATCCTCCTGATTCCTGATTACAAGCAAAAACTCAAACAGGAAGTACCAGTGACGGAAGTGGTCCGATGAAACGAATGCTAAGCTACAGAACTGTTTCGCTAGCATAGACTGGAATTTGTTACGGGACTCATCCGATGGCATTTTCAGAGTTTAACACATCACTCACCGGCTTCATTAATAAGTGCATCAACGACGTCGTCCCCATCGTGACCATACATACATATCCCAACCAGAAGCCATCGATTAAAGGCAACATCCGCGCTGTGCTAAAGGCTAGAGCTGCCACTTTCAAGGAGCGGGACACTAACCCGGACGGTTATAAAAAATCCCGCTATGCCCTCCGACGAACCATCAAACAGGCATAGTGTCAATACAGGACTAAGATCGAATCCTATTACACCGGCTCTGATGCTCGTCGGATGTGGCAGGGCTTGTAAACTATCACGGATTACAAAGGGAAACCGAGCCGCAAGCTGCCCAGTGACGCGAGCCTACCGGACGAGCTAAATGCCTTCTATGCTCACTTTGAGGCAAGCAACACTGAACCATGAGTGAGAGCACCAGCTGTTCCAGATGACTGTGTGATCACCCTCCCCGTAGCCGATGTGAGTAAGACCTTTAAACAGGTTAACTAACATTCACAAGGCCGCAGGGCCAGACGGATTACCAGGACGCGTACTCAGAGCATGCGCTGACCAGCTGGCAAGTGTCTTCACTGACATTTTAAACTTCTTCCTGACCCAGTCTGTAATACCTACATGTTTTAAGCAGACCACCATAGTTCCTGTGCCCAAGAACGCCAAGGTAACCTGTCTAAATGACTATCGCCTTGTAGCACTCACATCTGCAGCCGTGAAATGCTTTGAAAGGCTGGTCATGGCTCACATCAACACCATCATCCCAGACACCCTGGACCCACTCCAATTCGCATACCACCCCAACAGATCCACAGATGACACAATCTCTATTGTAGTCCACACTGCCCTTTCCCACTTGGACAAAAGGAACATCAATGTGAGAATGTGGTTCATTGACTCCATCTCAGTGTTCAACACCATAGTGCCCTCCAAGCTTACATTTACATTTTTGTAATTTAGCAGTGCTCTTATCCAGAGCAACTAACAGTAGTGCATACATTTTCGTAATGGTCCCCCGTGGCATTGCAAGCGCTACGCTCTACAAACTGAGCCACACAGGACCGATCATCACTAAGCTAAGGACCCTGGAACTAAACACCTCCCTCTGCAACTGGATCCTGGACTTCCTGATGACACGCCCCCAGGTGGCGAGGGTAGGAAACAACACATCCGCCATGCTGACCCTCAAAACGGGGGCCCCTCAGGGGTGCGTGCTTAGTCCCCTCCTGTACTCCCTGTTCACCCACGACTGTGTGGCCACTCACGACTCTAACACCATCATGAAGTTTGCCGACAACACAACGGTGGTTGGCCTGATCACCGACGACAATGAGACAGCATATAGGGAGGAGGTCAGAGACCTGGCAGTGTGGTGCCAGGACAACAACCTCTCCCTCAACGTCAGCAAGACAAAGGAGCTGATCGTGGACTGCAGGAAACGGAGGACCGAGCACGCCCCCATTCACATCGACGGGGCTGTAGTGGAGCGGGTCAAGAGCTTCAAGTTCCTCTGTGTCCACATCACTAAGGATCTATCATGGTCCAAACACACCAACACAGTCGCGAAGAGGGCACGACAACACCTCTTCCCTCTCAGGAGGCTGAAAAGATTTGGCATGGGCCCTCAGATCCTCAAAAAGTTATACAGCTGCACCACTGAGAGCATCTTGACTGGCTGCATCACCACTTGGTATGGCAACTGCTTGGCATCCGACCGCAAGGCGCAACAGAGGGTAGTGCGTACGGACCAGTACATCACTGTCCACCAGTGGTCCTCTGTAGCTCAGCTGGTAGAGCACGGCGCTTGTAACGCCAAGGTAGTGGGTTCGATCCCCGGGACCACCCATACACAAAAAAATAATAATTTATGCACGCATGACTGTAAGTCGCTTTGGATAAAAGCGTCTGCTAAATGGCATATTATATTATACAGTGGGGAAAAAAAGTATTTAGTCAGCCACCAATTGTGCAAGTTCTCCCACTTAAAAAGATGAGAGAGGCCTGTAATTTTCATCATAGGTACACGTCAACTATGACAGACAAAATGAGATTTTTTTTCTCCAGAAAATCACATTGTAGGATTTTTAATGAATTTATTTGCAAATTATGGTGGAAAATAAGTATTTGGTCAATAACAAAAGTTTCTCAATACTTTGTTATATACCCTTTGTTGGCAATGACACAGGTCAAACGTTTTTCTGTAAGTCTTCACAAGGTTTTCACACACTGTTGCTGGTATTTTGGCCCATTCCTCCATGCAGATCTCCTCTAGAGCAGTGATGTTTTGGGGCTGTCGCTGGGCAACACGGACTTTCAACTCCCTCCAAAGATTTTCTATGGGGTTGAGATCTGGAGACTGGCTAGGCCACTCCAGGACCTTGAAATGCTTCTTACGAAGCCACTCCTTCGTTGCCCGGGCGGTGTGTTTGGGATCATTGTCATGCTGAAAGACCCAGCCACGTTTCATCTTCAATGCCCTTGCTGATGGAAGGAGGTTTTCACTCAAAATCTCACGATACATGGCCCCATTCATTCTTTCCTTTACACGGATCAGTCGTCCTGGTCCCTTTGCAGAAAAACAGCCCCAAAGCATGATGTTTCCACCCCCATGCTTCACAGTAGGTATGGTGTTCTTTGGATGCAACTCAGCATTATTTGTCCTCCAAACACGACGAGTTGAGTTTTTACCAAAAAGTTCTATTTTGGTTTCATCTGACCATATGACATTCTCCCAATCCTCTTCTGGATCATCCAAATGCACTCTAGCAAACTTCAGACGGGCCTGGACATGTACTGGCTTAAGCAGGGGGACACGTCTGGCACTGCAGGATTTGAGTCCCTGGCGGCGTAGTGTGTTACTGATGGTAGGCTTTGTTACTTTGGTACCAGCTCTCTGCAGGTCATTCACTAGGTCCCCCCGTGTGGTTCTGGGATTTTTGCTCACCGTTCTTGTGATCATTTTGACCCCACGGGGTGAGATCTTGCGTGGAGCCCCAGATCGAGGGAGATTATCAGTGGTCTTGTATGTCTTCCATTTCCTAATAATTGCTCCCACAGTTGATTTATTCAAACCAAGCTGCTTACCTATTGCAGATTCAGTCTTCCCAGCCTGGTGCAGGTCTACAATTTTGTTTCTGGTGTCCTTTGACAGCTCTTTGGTCTTGGCCATAGTGGAGTTTGGAGTGTGACTGTTTGAGGTTGTGGACAGGTGTCTTTTATACTGATAACAAGTTCAAACAGGTGCCATTAATACAGGTAACGAGTGGAGGACAGAGGAGCTTCTTAAAGAAGAAGTTACAGGTCTGTGAGAGCCAGAAATCTTGCTTGTTTGTAGGTGACCAAATACTTATTTTCCACCATAATTTGCAAATAAATTCATAAAAAATCCTACAATGTGATTTTCTGGAATTTTTTTTCTCAATTTGTCTGGCATAGTTGACGTGTACCTATGATGAAAATTACAGGCCTCTCTCATCTTTTTAAGTAGGAGAACTTGCACAATTGGTGGCTGACTAAATACTTTTTTCCCCACTGTATATCACTGGGGCCAAGCTCCCTGCCATCCAGGACCTCTATACCAGGTGGTGTCAGAGGAAGGCCCTAAAAATTGTCAAAGACTCCCGCCACCCAAGTCATAGACTGTTCTCTCTGCTACCACATGACAAGCGGTACAGATGCACCAAGTCTGGAACCAACAGGCCCTTGAACAGCTTCTACCCCCAAGCCATAAGACTGCATTGACCCTTTTTGCATACATTTTTCTGACTCATCACATACGCTGCTGCTACGGTCTGTCACTTTATTCCTAGTTATATGTACATATCTACCTCGTACCCCTGCACATCAATTTTGTACTGGTACCCCTTGTATATAGCCAAGTTATCGTTACTCATTGTGTATCTATTATTATGTGTTTCACTTTTCTATTATTTCTCCATTTTCTTTCTCTCTGCATTGTTGGGAAGGGCCCATAACTAAGCATTTCACTGTTAGTCCACCCCTGTTGTTTACGAAGCATGTGATGAATAAAATAGTATTTGATTTGATTTGAAGTGAAAAAACAGCGTAATCACAACTGAGAATGAACACCAGTGCAGGCAGGATAAATGGCAGAGGAGAAATACAGATAGAGATAATTCCCTGTATGTTTGCTCCGCAGCTTAACAGGTGCTACGAAGTAATAGGAGGCAGCCGCTTGCCTGCTAAGGCTAAGCAGTAGAATCAGAGGTCGATACGAGACCAAGACTAGAGGCGGCAGGAGCAGATAGAGGAGCACATAGACTAAACGAAGGAAACAAAGCCTTGAAGGCTCTGCCGCCTCGCCAGTGAGCTGTTTGAAGTGTGAACCATAGAGGCCGGTGCCCTCTCTCTCTGCTCTCACCCTGTTCTCTCTGCTCTTACCCCCCTCACTAAGAGCCAGCAGGTGCCTCATATCCTACGCTGAGGCGAAGAGGGATGGAAGTGGGAGGTAGGGAGGAAAAGAGAAAGAGAGAATGGTGTATTCATGAATGAACATTTCTGGTGAATGTGTATGTGTGTGTTTGTGTGCGTCTCTCTGCCTGTCTGTGAATGTACGTGTGCATGTATGTGCCTGTGTGTGTTTAATTCCACACTATCCAGGGTCCTTCAGCAACACTCAACAGGGATTAGCCTGGCCTGGCGGTGACTCTCTCATTAAAGAGGAGCCAGGGGGATGGACAGAAATACCCAAGCCAGCGTAAGAGCTGTTTGAAAAGACCACCTGAAATTGTACGGAGTGTACAAAACATTAAGAACACCTGGTCTTTCCATGACATAGACTGACCAGATGAATCCAGGTGAAAGCTATGATCCCTTATTGATGACACTTGTTAAATCCACTTCAAATCAGTGTAGATGAAGGGGAGGAGACAGGTTAAATAATGATTTTTAAGCCTTGAGACATGGATTGTATATGTGTATCATTCAACTGAGACTGCTCTTCTCTGTGTCACGGAGGCTCTCCGCACTGCTAAAGCTAACTCTCTCTCCTCTGCTCTTATCCTTCTAGACCTATCTGCTGCCTTTGATACTTTGAACCATCAGATCCTCCTCTCCACCCTCTCCGAGTTGGGCATCTCCGGCGCTGCTCACTCTTGGATTGCGTCCTACCTGACAGGTCGCTCCTACCAGGTGGCGTGGCGAGAATCTGTCTCCGCACCACGTGCTCTCACCACTGGTGTCCCCCAGGGCTCAGTTCTAGGCCCTCTCCTATTCTCTCTATACACCAAGTCACTTGGCTTTGTCATATCCTCACATGGTCTCTCCTATCATTGCTACGCAGACGACACACAATTAATTGTCTCCTTTCCCCCTTCTGATAACCAGGTGGCGAATCGCATCTCTGCATGTCTGGCGGACATATCAGTGTGGATGTCGGATCACCACCTCAAGCTGAACCTCGGCAAGACGGAGCTGCTCTTCCTCCCGGGGAAGGACTGCCCGCTCCATGATCTCGCCATCACGGTTGACAACTCCATTGTGTCCTCCTCCCAGAGTGCAAGGAACCTTGGCGTGACCCTGGACAACACCCTGTCGTTCTCCGCCAACATCAAAGCAGTGACCCGATCCTGCAGGTTCATGCTCTACAACATTCGCAGAGTACGACCCTACCTTACACAGAAAGTGGCACAGGTCCTAATCCAGGCACTTGTCATCTCCCGTCCGGATTACTGCAACTCGCTGTTGGCTGGGCTCACTGCCTGTGCCATTAAACCCCTACAACTTATCCAGAACGCTGCAGCCCGTCTGGTGTTCAACCTTCCCAAGTTCTCTCATGTCACCCCGCTCCTTCGCACACTCCACTGGCTTCCAGTTGAAGCTCGCATCTACTACAAAACCATGGTGCTTGCCTACGGCGCTGTGAGGGGAACGGCACCTCCTTACCTTCAGGCTCTGATCAGACCCTACACCCAAATGAGGGCACTACGTTCATCCACCTCTGGCTTGCTGGCCCCCTTACCTCTACGGAAGCACAGTCCCGCTCAGCCCAGTCAAAGCTATTCGCTGCTCTGGCACCCCAATGGTGGAACAAGCTCCCCCACGACGCCAGGACAGCGGAGTCACTGATCACCTTCCGGAGACACTTGAAACCCTACCTCTTTAAGGAATACCTGGAATAGTATAACAGTAATCCTTCTACCTTCCGCCCCCCCCCCCCCCCCCCCCCCATTAAAAAAAAGAAAAAAAAAGAAAGTGGATGTCCCACTGGCTATCATAAGTTGAATGCACCAATTTGTAAGTCGCTCTGGATAAGAGCGTCTGCTAAATGACAAATGTAAATGTACCATTCAGAGGGTGAATGGGCAAGACAAAAGATTTAAGTGCCTTTGAACGGGTGGGAAGCATTGGAGTCAACATGGGCCAGCATCCCATGCTTGTTCAATGAACCCTAAACAATTAATGAACATGCACCTGTGGAACGGTCGTTAAGACACTAACAGCTTACAGACGGTAGGCAATTAAGGTCATATTTATGAAAACACTAAAGAGGCCTTTCTACTGACTCTGAAAAACACCAAAAGAAAGATGCCCAGGGTCCCTGCTCATCTGCGTGAACGTGCCTTAGGCATGCTGCAAGGAGGCATGACAACTGCAGATGTGGCCAGGGCAATAAATTGCCTTAGACAGCGCTACAGGGAGACAGGACGGACAGCTGATCGTCCTCGCAGTGGCAGACCACGTGTAACAACACCTGCACAGGATCGGTACAGCCGAATATCACACCTGCGGGACAGGTACAGGATGGCAACAACAACTGCCCAAGTTACACCAGGAATGCACAATCCCTCCATCAGTGCTCAGACTGTCCGCAATAGGCTGAGAGAGGCTGGACTGAGGGCTTATAGGCCTGTTGTAAGGCTATATGGGCACAAACCCACCGTCGCTGGGCACAAACCCACCGTCGCTGGACCAGACAGGACTGGCAAAAAGTTCTCTTCACTGACGAGTCGCGGTTTTGTCTCACCAGGGGTGATGGTCGGATTTGCGTTTATTGTCAAAGGAATGAGCGTTACACCGAGGCCTGTACTCTGCAGCAGGATCGATTTGGAGGTGGAAGGTCCGTCATGGTCTGGGGCGGTGTGTCACAGCATCATCGGACTGAGCTTGTTGTCATTGCAGGCAATCTCAACACTGTGCGTTACTGGGAAGACATCCTCCTCCCTCATGTGGTACCCTTCCTGCAGGCTCATCCTGACATGACCCTCCACCATGACAATGCCACCAGACATACTGCTCGTTCTGTGCGTGATTTCCTGCAAGACAGGAATGTTAGTGTTCTGCCATGGCCAGCGAAGAGCCTGGATCTCAATCCCATTGAGCACGTCTGGGACCTGTTGGATCGGAGGGTGAGGGCTAGGGCCATTCCCCCCAGAAATGTCTGGGAACTTGCAGGTGCCTTGGTGGAAGAGTGGGGTAACATCTCACAGCAAGAACTGGCAAATCTGGTGCAGTCCATGAGGAGGAGATGCACTGCAGTACTTAATGCAGCTGGTGGCCACACCAGATACTGACTGTTACTGTTACTTTTGATTTTGATCCCCCCTTTGTTCAGGGCCACATTATTCAATTTCTGTTAGTCACATGTCTTTGGAACTTGTTCAGTTTATGTCTCAGTTGTTGAATCTAGTTATGTTCATACAAATATTTACACATGTTAAGTTTGCTGAAAATAAACGCAGTTGACAGTGAGAGGAGTTTATTACCTCAATTACCTCGACTAACCGATGCCCCCGCACATTGATTCTGTACCGGTACCCACTGTATATAGCCTCCCTACTCTTATTTTATTTTACTGCTGCTCTTTAATTATTTGCTATTTTTGATGATGCACATACATTTAGGCAGATATTTTATATTGCATGACAACACATTTGATGTATGTTTCTGAAAATGTAGCTACTGAGATGTTCTAATAAGCCTAAACCTACAGAGCAGTACATTACTTTCCTCTACTGATTTCCCCTGCTGTATCTTTCTCCTACTCCTGGGAAAACCTAGTGAGAGTGAATGCTACTGTGTACCATCTCTGGGGCATTAAAGGCCCAGTGCAGTCAAACACTTACATTTCCTGTGTTTTATATACTTTGCCACACTATGAGGTTGGAATAATACTGTGAAAGACCGCCTGAAATTTCAGCTTGTTTTGGTGGGATGGAGTTTTGGCCTGCCTGGTGACATCGAGTTAATAGACCAATAAGAAAGAGAGTTCCAAACCTCTCTGCCATTAACAGCTAGTTTTCCCCACTCAGACCACTCCCATACAGTCCTAGCAAAATTCTTGCTTGAAAAATTGCTCTTTGCTAAGAAACTATTTTTGTTTCTTTTTTACCATTTTAATTAAAAACAATCGCAGTAAGGTACTTAATTGTTACCCAGAAATGATTTGATATTGAGATAAAAATGGCTGTATTGGACCATTAATCAAGGGGGAAGTAAGCGCTAACCACAGTGCTGCTAACACTTGTTGAGAAACATAATAATACAGTAATTACGAGACATTGTGGCTGTTGTGGTAGCGTTATGGTGACATTGTAGTGATGTTGTTGTGCGGTTGTAGTAACATTGCAGTAATGTTGTCCTACTCACTCTATCTCCATGCTCAGCAGCTCCAGGAGAGCGGTGAAGATGCCCATGTCATACAGCAGGAACACGTTGTGGCGAGACCAGTGGATCACGTCCGCATCTGTGTCACACTCATCAAACACCCCTGGGGAACGCCACATGACAGAAACACACATAGGCTTCAACAGATGCTCATTCACCACACAACACTCTCAAAGGACTCTGAAGGACTCAAGCATAAATACTGTACATGTCCTCTGTTTCGTAAGAAAATGTTGGTCAGAGAAATGGCATTGGAAATATTTAAATATTCACTTAATGAAAATATGCTACAATCAAAGCAAATGATCTTGTAGTGTGCAGTGACGGTGATGATTACCCTGTGCCAGGTAAAGGATGGCCCGGGCCACCTTCAGCCTCTTGTCCCGGTCAGTGACCTCCAGAGCATCTAGTAGTCTCATCACATAGGCCCTCTGCCGCTCCTGACCCAGCTCAATCCACCTCGTCCCCCGCACTGCAGAGAGAGACAGAGTGAGTGAAAGAGAGTCTAGGCTTAAAATGTATATATTGTATAAATAGGAATGTGTGTCCTTTATTTTTTACCTCAACTCTTGGGATTATTGTAGGACATCATGATCAATGGAATTTAAATAGCTAGTCAGTTCCCCTCTTTTAGTAGAAATGTTCTGACATACAGTGCCTTCAGAAAGTCTTCATACTCATTCCACATTTTGTTGTGTTACAGCCTGAATCCAAAATGTATTACATTGATTTTTTTTCTCACCCGTCTACACACAATACACCATCATGCAAATGTATGCTGAATGTCTCCCAGTGTCTGTTGGAAAGCACACTGAACCAGGTTTTCCTCTAGGATTTTGCTTAGCTCTATTCCGTTTCTTTATATCCCACCCAGAAAAAACTCTCTAGTCCTTGCCGACAAGCATACCCATAACATGATGCAGCCACCACCATGCTTGAAAATATGAAGAGTTGTACTCAGTGATGTGTTCATCCATCCTCAGTTTTCTCCTATCACACAGCCTTTAATCTCTGTAACTGTTTTAAAGTCACCATTGGCCTCACTGTTTCCTTCCTCTCCAGCAACTGAGTTATCTTTGTAGTGACTGGGTGTATTGATACACCATCCAAAGTGTAATTAATAACTTCACCATGCTCAAAGAGATATTAAATGTTTGCTTTTGTTTTACCCATCTACCAATAGGTGCCCTTCTTTGCGAGGCATTGGAAAACCTCCCTAGTCTTTGTGGTTGAATCTGTGTTTGAAATTCTCTGCTGGACTGAGGGACCTTAAAGATAATTGTATGTGTGGGGCACAGAGATGAGGTAGTCATTCAAAAATCATGTTAAACACTATTATTATTAACACTATTATTATACATACAACTTGTGACTTGTTAAGCAAATGTTTACCCCTGAACGTATTTAGGTTTGCCATAATAAAGGGGTTGAATACTTATTGACTCAAGACATTTCAGCTTTTCATTTTTAATTCATTTGTAAAAATGTCTAAAAACATAATTCCACTTTGACATTATGGAGTATTGTGTGTAGGCCTGTGACACAAAATCTCAATTTAATCCATTTTAAATTCAGGCTGTAACACAACAAAATGTGGAAAAAGTCAAGGGGTGTGAATACTTGCTGAAAGCACTGTAACTCTTTGACAAAACTTCCCTTTATAAAGTTCATCCCATGTAACTTTTCTGAGCAGCTCTGATAAGTGCTCTGAGAATGTCATTATGATAAAAGTGCTTGGAGAGTAGCGACGCAGAGGACATCGGTGCATAACAGATTTAGCAGTGATGGAGAGTGGCAGTCTGGCAGATGTGTTAAAACATTGATGAGGGCCCCATCACCGTTCTGACATATTTAAAACCCAGATACAGAGAGACAGCACATCTCCTATCTCTCTTTGCAGCACAGACAGCTAGCCAAGCTGTCCACTGATCCATCTATTCATTCCTATTGGCTTTAGGGAAACAGAGTGGGAAGAAGAAGACCTAGCCTAGCTCTCTTAATGTATGTAATGTGCTGCAGCTGCAACTAAATTGCCCTTAAGGTACAATAAAGCTCTGTGGAATTGAATGTCTTGCGCTACACATTATGTATTATTACTCATTATGAACCTTCCTTTAACTTAGTATGCTGAGTAAGAATACAACCACATTTACAGTACAGCAACGAACTGGGCAGAGTTTCAGAGAATATGAGAGGGGTCGAATGAGCATGGAGATTAGATCAGCAAAATTGACACAGTCCAATTCATCCGGTCAATATGATCCTCATTAGGAGAGAAAACGGCATCGACCAGCTGTTTAATAACAATGATCATGATATGGAACCGTTGGTCACAGTAGTTGGCTATGGCTGTTAGCTGTGGTTTTGCAGCATATAGATAAGGCAGCTCTGTTTATCATGGCGCTAAGAAAGGCAGCAGCTGCAGAGCAGAGTTTGGCAAGGTGTGTGTGTTCCTGTATGTGTGTGTCACCTTCTCCCAAAACCTCCTGCTGAAAGTGTCAGGTTGGAGCAAGCAATCAGACACACACACACATCACTGTGCAGAACACTGCTGACAGTTCACTTGTTCACTCTCGCTCCTTCTCTTGTTCACTCCTCACAGAAAAAGGGAAACATTACACCTGGGAGCGGTCAATTAATCAGCTCCCTCGACCCTCTCTCCCTTTCCCTCTGTCCTTCTCCCTCTTTCACCCCCTCTCTCTATCAGACTTTCTCTCTCCAGATGATTACCAGGGCGGGAATCCATTCCATTACACTTCTACATTCTCTCTATCTCTGTCTATCCATCTCTCTTTCCGTAAACGCTAGAATAACAGGCAAACACATTCGAGGGTATGCAAACAAACAGCGTGTTCGAGGTGAGTCAGAAAGCCCTTTGGTACTCTCACTGCTTTAGAAAAAAAACATGCACACACACACACAAACACACACACACACACACACACACACTAACAGAAACTAATATGACAGGCATGTAGCGCTGTCTGGAAAGACAAAACCGCCACTGACAGACAAGGTAACAGTACCATGGCTCCTGAAATCCTCCTCAAAGTAGTCCCTGTTGAGGGCGAACTCGGGCTCCTCTGTGTAACTGTATATCTCTGTGGACAAACAGGAGAGACAGGGGAATCATCAGACAGACAGGATGACATACAATCCTGTACTGAAGGATTCAACAGAGGTAATGTCATGAAAGACATCATGGGGTATACTGTAGTGGAAGCGCTGTATGGCTCAGTTGGTAGAGCATGGCGCTTGCAACGCCAGGATTGTGGGTTTGATTCCTGGGGCCACACATTTGTCAAATTTATGGATGCAATGTGACTAAGTCGCTTTGGATAAAAGTATCTGCTAAATTGCATATATTATAAGTCAACTGTTTCATTCAGTCCCTTTCATAAAAAACAACAATTTTGGCTCCCAGTTATCCTTTCTGTAGTCTTTTTATGAGATTCATGACATCGTTGACTAATCCCTCTTCAGCGAATATACAGTAGTTAAATCCCAACTGTCACTCCAGCCTGAGGAACAGTCACAAGAGAGCAACTGTAATGTCTGTGTTTGTGTAAGCTAATGTCTCAGTGGGACTAGCTACCTAACCAAAGGAGCTGCATTCAACAAGGGAAAACTATGATCTTGCCTTGAATCAATCCCATGTAGCTGCTGACAGCGCAGCACTGTACTGTAGCACATTGTTGCAGTGACTAGCTGCTGGTTATGAACAGAACATAAGACGGAGCATATCCCTTGTGGATATACTGGAACAGCAGTGATCACCAATTCTCCTGGAAAGCTACAGGGGTTGCCTTGCATGTTTTTGTTCCAGCAACTGTTTCAACTAATCAACTGGACTTGATGATTAGTTGAATAAGGTGTTTTGTGGTTGGAACAAAAGCCTGCCCAGTGCCCAGTAGCTGCCCAGGTCTAGGGTTGGTGACCGATGGGTTATTGTTTAAAGACCTTACCTGAGAGTTCAGCAGTCAGGCTGTCTATATCCCCATACTCAAACTCTAGGTTGGGAGACTCCATGGAGCTCTGAAAACAGAAAACAACACTGAAGTCTAGGCAGAACCACAAAGGGAAATGAAGGCACATGACACATGCACACTAACACACACACACACACACACACAGCATGGCAGGGGAATATGGACAAAACAGAGCCCACCTCTGTTAGCCGTCATAGCTGCTAAAAGCATTATTTTCCCAGATTGAGACAGACTGATACAGTATGCATGATCTCACCACTTTTTTTTTTATCAAAGCACCACAAAACAACAACATTCACATACTGCCAGCCAATACAAAAGACCGTAGCACTTGGATAGAGACAGACTAGACTTTGAAATAGGTTAAGGACTGCCGTTAGTCAGCCTTGAGCGAGTGTCTCAGCAGCAATTTAGTGACAGAGAAAATTACATGGCATGTGTCAGTTGCTAAGCCTTTGCTTTAGTTTGAGGACTGTCTGTAGTTGGTTTTCATGCATCCTACCACAGAAGGGCAGCAATAGCCAGGGAAAGGCTAACATCTGTAATTCCCTGGAACCTGAAGCACCCTAAATCTCAGAGCCCCAAACAGTCTGTCAGATTAGGGTGAGATTCAATAGGAGGGATTGGAAATGTAAGAATCATTTGGCCTAATGACTTGTTAATTCCAAATACATTACATTTGGCACAGATCCCACTCCAGATGGAGACTTGTTGTGTCTTAGGAGGTGGTTTTCAGTTACAAACACCATCTGAGAGCTAAGACGTTCTGAGTCAGTGAAACTGGTCCCCCTCAGGATTGTTTGCCTGCTATTTTTCACACTCCACTTCTGTCCATTCCTCTACATCCAGATTAGACGCTTGGGCTGGACTCAGAATGACCCACACACACTGACTCCTATTTGAGCCAGATGACTGAGAGAGCAGGAGTCACAGCAGGCTGAGGAGAGAAGATTATGGTGTTCACTCTGACAGGGAGACTGACACATTCCCAGAGGATGAGCCTGGGGTTCAGGTGCCGATAGTCTCACAGTGTGACAGAGAGACAATGGAGGTAAGCTTTGGGGGGAAATCGTTAGGGAAGATATTTTGGTCTACAGAGAAAATGGACCAGTCACGGTCTGATGTGCCACATCGAAAATTTGCTCTACTTAGGTGTTCAAACTGTAGGTTAATTACACACTAAACCACTGGTGTTAGGGATCTGCAGGGTGGAGGCTTTTGTTCCAACCCAGCACAGTATCATCACCACTAGAGAGATAAATCAGTATCATATTTCTCTCTAGTTAAATCCATGTCATGCCAGTCTAGTTAGTCTAACCACTGCCACCAATGTCACTGTGGTGACCGAGACGCTCATCGCCCTGAGTGCAAATTGTGATGTTTATCAGAGACCAAGCTAAACCCACAACCACATTTAAATTTCAGCTCACAATTGTTTGATTGGGAATATAATAAAACACAGGCATCAATCCTAGTGTCTGATTGGCTGAGTCCCCCCCAGAGGAGATGAGAGGATGCTGGAAGGTTGTGTCTGTTGCACCGGAAACTAAGGTTTGTGTTGTTATTGCTCTCAATAGAGCTCTTTCATGTTTGTCTGAAGGAGAGTGGGGAATTTGGTGTCTTTCACTCAGCTACCCATGGGCATCAACAAATATCTCTCTCTCTCTTCCCCCCGCCAGCTTGCTATGAACACTACCCTTCCTTCCACACTGGTACAGTGAACCCTGCGCTCCACCGTCAGTGTGTGCAAACACTGGGCATCACGTCAAAATACCCACGAGCCCCCATCCCCCCTCCTCTCATATAAGCATATGTTAAAAATAACCTATGGCCGAAGCCAGCCAGCCAAGCCAATCGGCCAATGCAATAATCAACTCTAACACAGATCACATGAGGAATAGCCTGGAAAAATAAATATAATTAAGTGGGATGATCATATGGGCTATGATGACTTAGGCGTACATTGTGTGGCTTGAGCATTGAATGTAGTTTAGCTACTTGACTACAGATTAATTAGCCTGCTTAAAGAAATGAGCCAACTGGATCCACCAAATTATTATTTATTATTATATGGCCAACATCAATAGTGTGTCCATAAACCTACTGTATATTTGAAATCTGACACCGGTCTACGATGTCATGGACAAATTCACAGGCGGCGGCTGCAAGATAAGATTCGACCACAAAACGTCCTGGAGATTGACAGTCACATTAGCTACCTGTATTTGCCACGTTCAGAATTAACCATAAGCTTACGGTATTTATACCATCCACTTGCGCTGTCACCAAAATAACAACCCGGGCTGCATGCTTTCAAAAGCGGCTCTGTAGCAAAAGGGCATTTAAAGCTCCCCAGCAACAACAAACCACACGGACACGGACCCCTCTATACTGGCTCACGATTAGCTACAAACTGGCTTTACCTCCCAATCCTTCAGCAGATTCTTGAACACATCTCTCCCATTCGGCAGAGGCCTTTGATTGTTGCAGTTATTGTTAATAGTATTAATGATAGGTACCTCCATTTCGTCTGCCTGCATCTTTCTGTGTCGGTTTGTTCACTTTCTGCAGCTCGTGCATTCCGGTAAGGTTCGAGCCTGTCAAATTGTAATAGATTTCAGTATTCCAAATTCAGAAAATCCGTCCCCGTTGGAGTGATTGGTTGACTGAACGCCAGAGAGGGCGGGGTTAACTTCTACTGTAAATGGTGACTGGCCGGTTGGTCTTGCCCACGAGTGAATCAGTAGAGTAGAGGATGCGAGTATTCTAATTCGGTCAATGAATTGGTGCTGATGCTGAGTATTCCATAATGGCAACTACATAAGAAACATTGTCAGTTTCTGTGGATTGAATGAAAAATTGGCTATTATAGCTTAGTATTGATAGGCTATTCAATTGTATCTATTGCTTGAATGTAACCATATCGTGTTCACACAGCTGTTTAATCCATTTTGTTCTGTCAGAATGACTGGATTGTGCATAGATTATCTGTCAAATCCTGATATCCTCCACACATTAGTCAGAGCGGGCATTTTAATCAATCAAGACCTGAGACAAGACACAAAACCTATGAGTGAATCAAATGATTTTATACCAGCCTAGTAACAAACCAGATTAAACTAATCAAGAGCTTGATGACTATTTGGTCGAATCAGGTATGTCATTGCTGGCCCATAACAATAGCCTGCACACTCTGTGCCAGGGCTTCCAGGATCATGATTGAAGAGCACTGCTCTAGAGGGAATTTAATATTCCCCCAAAACATCCATCCCTTGAGGCAGGCTGCCACATTGAGTGGTGGTAATGTAGGGGTCGGAGAGGGGTGACGATAGACTAGACCACTTGATGGTCACTCTTATCCTACCACCGCCACGGTGAACTGAGTGAATTATTGATTAGTGACTGTAGTATTGATTAGTGACCCCCCACCCCCGCCCCCCATAACAACCCCTGACTGAGAAAAGCACTTAACATGATCTGATTGGAGTGTACAGGTTAATGAGAGCGCAAAGGAGGTCATATCTGTTTCACTTACGTGAACTTGACACATGGCTGGCTGGTTGGGTGCTAGGGTGTTTATACTGAATGCAGGGTGTATTGTATGCAGGGATTTATTGATGGAGAACACAGGTCAAAACAAACATGATTATGATGTGAAACACACAGCAGTGCTAATGTCATTCTGCAGTTGCTGTTTAAGCTTTACTTTATTGTGTTACTATTTCCTTTTTTTCTTATTAGCACATTTTTCTTACATTTTAACTCTGCATTGTTGGGAAAGGGCTCATAAGTAAGCATTTCACATTAAAGTCTACACCTGTTGTATTCGGCACGTGACAAATACATTTGATTTCATTATATGGTTAATATTGGTGGCTGTTAGGGACCAAAACACTTTAATAATGAATTCTCTATCTTGCATTTAACTTGTGTTTTTGCCTTTGTGTGACAAATCTTTCACATTAACTGAATGAAATCGGTGTGTGTAGCATGGACATGGATAATAGGCAGTCAACATTGTGTGTGTGCCTCAGGGTGTCTGAACAGAGTGGGTGCACTCTGTTTAGGTCACTCACTACGACTGTAATTGAGTGGCAACAACAGCTGCTTTCAACTGCTCTCGACACACCCAGTGTCACCCCCTATCATTGCGTCATGTGGCAATACAGCAATCAATTTACTCTGAGCGCATACCCCAATTATAGCCCCATAACTGAGTAAGTATCCAAACGTATGAGAGTTCTGAGAACATAATTAAAATGGACACGTTTTATTTGTTGAGTCACTGAATAACCAGTGTTAATGTTAGAACCATGTTTGATCAATGATCAACCTAGCATAACATGTTCTTCACAACTTAACTGCAGTCATAAGTCTTATAGTCTTATTATTATTATTATTATTATTATTATTATTATTATAGGACACATGGCCTGTAAATATGATTGAGGGTACATAACCTAAACCCGTCCTAACACAGATTCCAGTGCCTAATGATCAGATCATCCAAGCTGTAGTGAAACAACCTAGTTCATGATGATAATACTTTGTTTCTAGCACTTCACATAACATAATCTCTTCCTCTCTCAAGTGGTGTCATTATTGATGTCTATCTTTCTTTGAGCTCCGATGCAGCAGCAGGCACTCATCCTCTCATCTATCAGATCAGCCGGAGTCTAGAGATGCACTCCTCAAGGCCATGGGAAATCAGTTTACACAGGCAGCACAATACTGATCTTTTGCCCAATAATTGGCAAAAGATCTGATCTGATCGGTTAAAAGCATTTAGTGGCAAAAGATCAGAATTGGGCTGCCTGTGTAAACACAGCCATAGATGCCTAATAGGCATTGGTAGCAATCTTTCTGTCTGAATTGAGGTATAGTCAAGAAAATACATGAACATGAATAAAAACACAGCACATCATATAATAGACGACAAAGGTTGATACAATATTTTACATTTTTATTCTTTAAGATTACAGATGTATTATTGCTCATCTATCATTATCACTTGCAATATTTAAACATTGTTTCGACAACTTCAACATTTTAGAAGAATTTTCCATTTGTACTGACTGAGGATTTACAACAATAAATACAAGAGTCGATATGCTGTAATTCCTATACTTTTGAGTTAACCATACAAGATGCTGGTGTTAACCCTGCCCATGTGATGCAGCTATTGGACCGACTAATGCTCTTTCACCCCCGGAACGCACAGGCTATGATCCTGAGACAACTGCATCGAAGCAACCATGTCCTACAACACATGACCCTAACACGCACACATACACTCTCAAGCACACACAGGCTCACTCTCACACGCAGTCAGGCGCGACCATTTACTCACACACATTCATACACTCACTCAGAACCACACACACATGAACAACAGAGAAACTTAAGACATTGGCTACAACACACAGATCATAATAAACCCCTCTAACAGATGAGATAATCAGCACAAGGATAATGTTGTAAAAGTCTGACAAACAGACATATGGATAGTATGGACGGTCACACAGACGGGGCCTCTGACTTGGAAGATGGTTATTATGGAGGCTGGGGGGGGGGGGGAGGCATAAATGCACAAATGGTAGCTCCCGAGTATGACATGAACACAGTGACATTTTAGAATGTATAGTATGGGCATAATTAACATGGGAGCATATGGGCGAATGTTCTCATGGATTTAACTCCATTCTATGCAATGTGGTATGGGCTTTTGGTTCAGGTGAAAACCCTAACAGCTGGGATTCGAACAAAGTTCATCTAAAATGTTGAGGAAATGAAGTCTGACTAATAATCGTACCAGAGGAGTTTGGCCCTCAACAGAAAAACTCACCAAACGAATGATGACACCAAATCTTGGACATTTATAAGGTGACTATTACCTTTTATCATAAATACATAAGAAATTGAAACAATGAGGTAAACTAATGTCTGAAGAAGTGACAATTTTTAGAACATGTGAAATGTAGGTCCCCAACTAAATACAAGCATATGTAATGATCCAGTCATCAAGCTTTATCCTCACTGTAGTTCAAATCACAGCTAACCCCTGACAACGGTTCTAGCGCTGTAAGTACTGTACAGGTTTCCTTACAGCAGCTTACTATTGAGGACCTGGCTAAAGAAACTACTACCAGCCTGGCTGTACATTTGGTATCTCACTGAAATAGTCTCTGTCACAGTATTCAAAAAATGATTGATCATCCAGAACATTTATTACATTTATCATATAACATTTAATTGCTTATCTTTATAATGAGACATTTGTTTGATTTCAAAAGTAAGATGGGTGGAGGAAAAAAATAGAAAAATCTAAATGTCTATATAAATATATCCCCCTTGTAATGATCTCCCATACCTGTCATGCTTCTAATTAAGCAATAAGGCACGAGGGGGTTTGTGGTATATAGCCAATATACCACTGCTAAGGGCTGTTCTTATGTACGACGCAACGCAGAGTGCCTGAATACAGCCCTTAGCCGTGGTATATTGGCCATATACCACAAACCTGGTGCCTTATTGCTATTATAAACTGGTTACCAACGTAATTAGAGCAGTAAAAATAAATGTTTTGTCATGGTGGTGTACGGTCTGATATACCACAGCTTTCAGCCAATCAGCATTCAGGGCTTGAACTACCCAGTTTATAATACAGTATAATGCTTTGATAGGAGAATCTAGCTCCGGACATCATGGATGGATGTCATAAACTCTGGTTGGTGGAATACTTTTCATATAACTTCAACACCATCATCATTATGTGAGCAGTTTGGGAGCTGAGCAACAGAGGCTGTGGTACAGGCAGCTGAGATGGAGTCACTGTATTTGAGTGACAGGTGGGAGAGGGGTCCCAACCAATCACAGGGAAAGACCCCGCCCCCACGCCAGTCACTGTCCAGTTCAATTGAGGGAATAGGAGAACCAACGCATTAAAACATACTTAAAAACAAGACAAAGAATACATCTGAATCACATTATCAAATAAAAGACAGGATATGATTGGACCCAGTGACCTCCCCCTCACACCTTTTCATCGAATCCCTTTCAATTTATATTTGAAAACAAAACAGAAATCAAGAGTAGAACATAAAGACAATAGGACATGAACCACACGTCCATCACTAAATCTTCAGAGGTCATCTTTCATTCACAGAGATTTTTTGTACATTTCAGTTTGTTTGTTTTTTCTTCATCAATAGTTTTTTAAACGAACAATAAAAATATCTCGTAATGGAGTTTTTACGTACGACTGACTGACAGACAAACAAGTAGCTAAGAGAAGACGATGAAATGGTGGAATCTCCAGGAGACGCTTGCTAAGGAGCGCAAAATGGCAGGAGCAGCTCAAAAAGGTTAGAGTTACGTTATTCTAGCGTAAATAAATAAACACTGCCAAAGCGCAGGTAAAGCCACGCCTTCCACTCTGAGCAATTAGCACAGAGCTCCTCCCCTCTCCTGTAAAAAGCAGGTATGCGACTATTCCGTCCTCCTCTCTCCTTTCTTCTGGGTTCTGTACGATTTATGGAGCCTCTGTATTTTCTTCATTTCAGAGTTGGTTTAATACCTTGGGGAGAAAAAACGAATGTCAAATCATGTCGTTACAGTTACTGTTATGTAACATGGGAAGAATGGAACAATCTTGCACTGTGGATATCTCTCTACCTGCATAGCCGTCTTATTTCTCATTATAACGCTGATACACTGTATAACGTAACACCACGAAACATATACACTGAGTACACAAAACATTAAGAACACCTGCTCTTTACATGACAGACTGACCGGGTGAAAGCTATGATCCCTTATTGATGTCACCTGTTAAATCCACCTCAATCAGTGTAGATCAGGGTTCTTCAATTCCGGTCCTGGGAGGGCCAAAAACACCTCTATTTTTCATCCTCTCCTTCTAATCAGGGGCTAATTCAGACATGGGACACTAGTTGAGTGCAATTAACTACCAGGTAGAAATACAAAACAGAAGTGTTTCGGCCCTCCAGGACCGGAATTGAAGAACGCTGGTGTAGATGAAGGGGAGGAGACAGGTTAAAGAAGGATTTTTAAGCCTTGAGACATGGATTGTATATGTGTGCCATTCAGAGGGTGAATGGGCAAGACAAAAAATATTTCAGTGCCTTTGAACGGGGAATGGTAGTAGGTGCCAGGTGCATTGGTTTGTGTCAAGAACTGCAACGCTGCTGGGTTTTTCACGCTCAACAGTTTCCCGTGTGTATCAAGAATGGTCCACCACCCAAAGGACATCCAGCCAATTTGACAGAACTGTGGGAAGCATTGGAGTCAACATGGGCCAGCATCCCTGTGGAACACTTTCAATACCTTGTAGAGTCCATGCCCTGACGGGACGGGGGGGACGGGGGACGGGGGGGGGGGGGGGGGGTCTTCCTAATGTTTGGTATACTCAGTGTATGTCACATTAAATATATGACATACAATATTAGCAAGCAATCTAAGCCTTCAGGGCATTAATATTTACCTGTAGTAGTTTGGCTTGAAGGGCCCGTTCTTGTTCAAGCCCAGGTACTTGGCCTGCTCATCACTCAGCTCTGTGAGGTGGGCATCGAACGTAGGGAGGTGAAGGCTGGCCACATACTCATCTGGAATAATACAGAGGGAGAGAGAAAAGATGGAGGGAGTGGGGGGTGGGAGGGACAGAGCGAGCGAGAGAAAAATGGATGAGAGTGAGAGACAGAAAGAGAGAGTGAGAGGAGAGAGCCAAGTTACTCTAGCTAGCAGGGACACAGGGCTGTCGGTTATTTATTAATTTATTTGTTTGTGAGGGGTTAGCTGAGCACACTAGGGCTGCTTCTCTCGTCTCGATCTCTCCCTGTCAATGATGGTGCAGTGAGCTTAGCAGCAGGCTCTGACAGACTGACCTATATTGAGCCTCTCTGCCAGTCCATCTCGTCCTCCCTGCTTTTACTCTATACGGGGGGGGGGGGGCAGAGACCCGGCTACGCTGCCAGCTGCAAACACACACCAACACATGCACACTCAGGCTCTCCATGAGATGTATTCTACTATGAACGAAGCACACACACACACACACACACACACACACACACACACACACAAAGCACGCATACACCCAGACACACACACTCCTCTCTAAATAGGATGCATTCTACTATGAATTATATATTTCCCAGACAGTGCAATGACTGTAAATGAATAGAAAAAAAGACCAAACGCCGCAAACACACCCTGATATACTAACACCCAGTGTTTGGTTTGGATCATGACGTAGAACATAAATAACCCAATCCAAGACATGGCTGCAGGGGATGAGTTAGTACAGAGCTGCTTCGAAATATCTTTAAGGTCATGCTAGCCTTCCCTTTCCCTATCCTGTATATCTATAGCTTCTCTTTGCTGAGTTGAGTCTTTGTTGTGCATTCTGGCTGATTCCCTTTCAACTCAATGTTTTCTCCTAAAAGGGTTTTGTCAGAGGTTCAGACAGGGGGACGGGTGCTGTCAGGTCACTACTGGATGCCTCGGCTGAGGCCTGAGAGGATAAGGATGAGGGAGCGTGTGTGTGTGAGCCGGATGGTTGAGTACAGAGGATGGATGAAGGAGTATGTCTGTGGACATAGAGCACGGTCTCTTACCCATCTTCTTGGGCAGCAGGTAGACATCCTGTTTGTAACGTCCCTCTGGGGCATTATACAGCTCTATCAGAGCCAGCGCCTGAGGTATGAGACAAGACCCAGATGTCAATCAAACACATCGGTTACCATGGCAACGCCAAGGTCGCTCTCATGACGCACACGGCCTGGCCTGGGGTCAGCGGCAGAGCAATGACAGGACCCTAATCGCTACGATTACTGTACGAAGTGGAGCACACACACCGACGCTGATCCACCCTACACACAAATCACAAAACGCACACACACACGGTACCTGGGTGGTGGCGGTGATGGACAGGACAAAGGTGGGGACTGTAGAGCAGCTCAGGTTCAGAAGACGACCCTGAGGACAGATAGAGACACACATTGGGTTAACAACCAGTTAACAGCACACAGAATCAGAGAAAACTGCCTTCACCTCCATCTCAATGATAAGATACAGTGAGCGTGTGCGTGTGCGTGTGGGGGGGGTGACATCGACATCGTCAAATGTCAAAAACAGTGTTGCTGAGTCCAAGATCAGAATAACAGAAGAGTTGCCTGTTGTCTCAGAGAGATATGGTGTAAACAGAGAGAGAAAATGGGACTGTTACTGAGCTGAGACTGCTAATGAGGCAGCATTCACAAAGGAGGAGGAACTGATCTACATTTACTACCGCTATCATACACTCCTAAGTGACACAGAATGCCTGCAATAATGTTCTTTTTCCCCCCAGAGAGCTGCAACATGTTGTGTTAGTATGTAGAAATGAAGCTTTGGTGGTGCTTTAGTTTCAATTCCCTGCGAGTAGCAGTAACAGTACTGTTACTTTATGCAGTATGCACACACTGCCTGGTGGAACTGAGGCAGCCCACACTTCCCTGTTCTGTAGAGGGGGGAGTGAGTCAGGAGAACAGAACACCGACCACAGATGAGCTCCGGAGAACCAAGCTAACAAAGCCATTTCTCTTTGAAAAAGCCTCTCAGATTAAAGACAGTAGAGGAGAAGCGAGAGAGTCCAGGAGTGAAGATGGAGAGAATAGAGTCAAGAAGAGAGAAGACAGTGGCAAACAAACAGCAGAGGGGGATTCTATTCTCTGATTAAAGCCTGGAGGAGATCAAAACAGCAGACGCACTGAAGCACCTGGCCTGCCCGTCATTCTACCTGGCTCTCTCTCACGGTGGTTTCATTCTGTCAGAGATTGCTGCGTACACACACACAGAGACAGAGACAGAGACAGAGACAGAGACAGAGACAGAGACAGAGAGAGAGAGAGAGAGAGAGAGAGAGAGAGAGAGAGAGAGAGAGGAGAGAGAGAGAGAGAGAGAGAGAGAGAGAGAGAGAGAGAGAGAGAGAGAGAGAGAGAGACTCTGCTATGAGAGAGGGAGTGTGGTGTAGACGCACTGCTAGTTTACCAGGCTCAGCCCCCGATAGGGGTTGTTGCACAATTACATATGGCTCATTTGGAGCTATTCACGCCCAGTTATCTGGAAGTCGAGAGGATTTATAGATCGGATCATTGACCCTTGTGACTGAGCAGTGATTGAGGCACTACCGTCATGGACAGGCTGTTATTAACGTGACGATGATGATGATAGATAGATAACCTCAGCCAGCAGCACTATCCTCTTGCCGTCAGGCCAGATGACGTGGTCCACCTGTGACCTCACTCTCTCCCAGGTCAGCTCCGGGGTCCGCAGGCTCGCCTGGAGGAGAGGACAACAAACGGACAGGAAGCAGTTACCATGAGAGCAGTTTCACTATGACAACCAGGGCCTAAAATTGACACCTGCGGGTAGATTTTGGCATTGGTGGGTAAGATGTCCATTTCACCAGCCACGTTGGTATTTCACTCCCATTTGCAAATCAAATTTAGTTAGAAATCAAGTATGAGCTCATTTATAGCTAAATAAATTCTGCAGTAGCTGTTCTCAAAGTGTTTGTCATTTTGTTTCATAGCTGGTAGCTAATCACACAAAGAACTACGAATCCTACAATAATATCACGCAACGCGCAGCAACACTGCCTGGCTGGGGAGCTGTGTGCACTGTGTTGAAGACTAATTTTAGAACCGGTGCGCACAAGCATAAAAGCTGGTCTAATTTACTTGAAAGTCTAAAATGAGAATTTGTCCTTTTGTTTCTTGGCTATTTACATTGTTTTGTTCACAAGCTAGGGTGTTGTTCAATATTTCAGTGCTAGCAAAGACATTGGCTACTAGTCAGATTCTCTATATCACAGGCACACTGTCACTGAGGAGAGCAGGCGACTCCAGCAGCTCAGTGCTCTTGTTACCACGGTAACCTCCCGCCCTTCAAGAGGCAGCTGAAAATTTTTGATCTCATCTGTGATATTTTGGTAAAAAAACTCAGGTCACAAAAAAATGAAATAACATTCAGCAATATACCACATCACCTCTAACTAGTAATACATTTATTGTTTTAAAAACATTACAAAGCATGCTCATATGTTTTTATTTTATTATTATGGGCCCAAAATATTTTGGCTGGTAAAAAAATCAGAGTGGCTGGTAGATTTTTGAAATCTACAGTATCAGTCAAAAGTTTGGACACACCTACTCATTCAAGGGTTTTTCTTTATTTTTTAAAAACTATTTTCTACATTGTAGAATAATAGTGAAGACATCAAAACTATGAAATAACACATATGGAATCATGTAGTAACCAAAAATCTCAAATTTGGACTCCAGACCAAAGGACAAATGTCCACCGGTCTAATGTCCATTGCTCGTGTTTCTTGGCCCAAGCAGGTCTCTTCTTCTTCTTATTGGTGTCCTTTAGTAGTGGTTTCTTTGCAGCAATTTGACCATGAAGGCCTGATTCACACATTCCCCTCTGAACAGTTGATGTTGAGATGTGTCTGTGACTTGAACTCTGAAGCATTTATTTGGGCTGCAATTTCTGAGGCTGGTAACTCTAATGAACTTATCCTTTGCAGCAGAGGTAAATATGGGTCTTCCATTCCTGTGGCGGTCCTCATGAGAGCCCGTTTCATCATAGCGCTTGATGGTTTTTGCGACTGCACTTGAAGAAACTTTCAAAGTTCTTGAAATGTTACGTATTGACTGACCTTCATGTCTTAAAGTAATGATGGACTGTCGTTTCTCTTTGCTTATTTGAGCTGTTTTTGCCATAATATGGACTTGGTCTTTTACCAAATAGGGCTATCTTCTGTATACCCCCCTACCTTGTCACAACACAACTGATTGGCTCAAACACATTAAGAAGGAAAGAAATTCCACAAATTAACAAGGCACACCTGTTAATTGAAATGCATTCCAGGTGACTACCTCATGAAGCTAGTTGAGAGAACGCCAAAAGTGTGCAAAGCTGTCATCAAGGCAAAGGGTGGCTATTTGAAGAATCTCAAATATAAAATATATTTTGATTTGTTTAACACTTTTTTGGATACTACATGATTCCACATGGGTTATTTCATAGTGTTGATGTCTTCACTATTATTCTACAATGTAGAAAATAGTAACAATAATGAAAAACCCTTGAATGAGCAGGTGTGTCCAATATTTTGACTGGTACTGTATCTGGCGCAAAAGTTAGTTTCAGGCCCTGATGACAACAGTCACTATGAAAATGGTTTCCCTATGACCCTGAGGATGTCACCGTAAGAGTGATAAGAAGTGACAGGCATAGGCAACAGTGAGCCAACCCGTAACTATGACAACGTCAGGTCAGGGACGTTGTCATATCACAGCTTCCCCCACAGTGACAATAACGTGACAAGCATTGGTGACAGCCGTGTTTCCACCCACACGATCAGTTAAGCTGTCACAGACAGTCACAATAACACACCCACACGTACATACAACCCCCCACCCCCCACCTCCCACCAATATGCACACACACACACTTTACTCACCACATCAATCTCGGTGTTTGAGTGTCCCATGTTACAGACGATACAGCCGTTCTTCATACGGTCCAAGTATTCTCTCAACACCACGTTCTTATTTCCTGGAGTAGAGGGAACATCATAAACATACCATCAATATTACCCTCTCACAATCATCATGTTCACTACTGTACACTGAAATGTCAGAGAAATGCATAAGTGGGCAGAGGAGAAAGGCGAATACTACCAATAAGGCAGATATATGCTCAATGTTGCTGTTGATATCACTTCAAAAGGAATTATGTTGCTGTATATGCGACACAAATTATGCTTGGAATAAATCTCCTGCACTAGATAAAAATTAAAAAATCTACTCAAAATGCACCATAGCTCTCTACATCCACCTACTGTATGAATAATGTGTCTAAATTGCATCGCGTGCCTCAAAGTAAGTCTTAGTGTGTTTACTTGCATGTGCACTCATACACATTCGCATGAGGGATTAAGGTTGTCTATCCTTTTTCAATTAACGTGGATGACTGCAGCTGGTCAATAGGCTTAATTAACTAGGGAGGTATGCAGTCTGTCGCAATTAACCCTTCACTCTGATTGAATCAATGTGGAACACTGACTGACTGGCTGCTAGGTCGTAGTGCTTGAGATGACTTCTGTAAATGTCTCTACCAGTGGTCACCAACCCTTTCTGAGTCAAGATCACTTTCTGAGTCAAAAATGCAAGCCGATTTTTTTTTTTTTTTACATAACTTTAAAATGTAAGCTTACGCATTATCACTGCATATTGGCTATACTTGAATTGCCCTGCCAATGTTGTTCTTAGACCATTTTGAAATGATATTTAAAATGTTTAGGTACATGATCACACTGGTAATAGATCATTTGTTGTATTACTTGTGAGGCACAGCTGAGTGAGCATAATAATTAGCTTTTTTTTTTACTGGACTGATGGCCTGCATCTGATGGTCAGTCTGAGGGGAGGGAAGGAGCAGCGGTGAGGCTGTCTCCCACCTGACTCACTGTCCCTCTATCTCTCTCCCTCCCTCCTCTGAGAAAAGGGGACACAGTCTTCCAGCTGAAACTCAAGTAGCACTGCATTATTTCTGCCTCATGCACCAATTCATGTTGTTACTCCTATGACCCGAGAAAGTGAAATATTCCTCGATATTAAAAAAGTCCCAAGCTGCTAATAATAACAACGCAAGCTTATCGAAACACTTTGCTATAGCCTACTCATTCATTGCAGCTGCAGTGCCGGTTGTAGCGTGAGTGGAAGTAGGGAGGATGCGCATTTTATGGATTATAAAAGTGTTGACAGTGCTGAATAACAATTTAAACATACAGCTCTTTGCTGTATTCGTTGAGTCTCTCTCTAGTCATGTTTTAAAAGTTTTGAAATCTCACAGTATCAACTTTGCTGTGCGTTAGAGGCTTCTTTTTACAGTCTATGGCTCGAGGAAACTGTGCAGACACGGTGATCTGAGCTATCTGATTGGCCAACGGAAGGCCTATCGGTGCACTTGATTTGATATCTGGGCCTGCCGGGTAGGCAGAGTTCTACCTTCAGACACATGAAATGGTTCAGAATGGGAACACTTTTGCCTTCCCGGCGCTAGGGCTGCTGAATCAAGTGCACCTACCGCCAACAGCTCGAAATGAAAAATAGGAACGCAAGGATTTATCGTTGTTTTTTTACAGAAATGTTTGGTGACTAGGAATGCCTTGGAGATCGCGATCGACCGGTTGGTGACCACTGGTCTATACCCTACTGCCTACTACCTGGTCACCCTCTAGGCTGCTGGGAGAGAGTGGGTGTGTTTGTGTGTGAATAGAGTGGTGCAGGCTGAATCAGTCAAGCAGTAAAGCCGTAGGGAGAAGATGGTTGTTGTTGCTATGCCCATGTTGGAAACGATGGGAGTATAGTGGTTTAGTGGTTACAAATGTGATTTTACCCCCAAAAATCTAAACCCTAACCCTGACTTAAACGCGAAACAGCTCATGTACTTGCACCTGGTTGTTAGTTCTGACACTGTTGCCACTTATCTGTTCTAATGTGGCCATCTAGTGCTGACCGAGGGGACAAGGGAGAGTTGTTCACCTGTGCAGGTGATGACAATGTCCACTTGTCTGATGACTTCATTCAGCTTCACCAGTCTGAAGCCATCCATGCTGAACAGGGACGGGAAACAAACGCGTTACTTCCTTGTTCACCCTGCTGCCTTTGGCCGATTCGTTCATGTACCAGGCTCTGATTGGTTGAACTTACCAGGCCTGCAAGGCACAGATAGGGTCGATCTCTGTGACGTACACGATGGAGCCCATGGCCTTGAGAGCAGCACAGCAACCCTTCCCCACCTATGGATGCACAAATAAAAACACACATGGGCATAGGACTGATGGAGGCTACACTACAGACTTGGATGGTAAACAGTGTCCTCTGGTGGTCCATTTTTATATAATAAGGTGTTTAGATTGCCAGCAGCATACCACCCTGCATCCCACTGCTGGCTTGCCTCTGAAGCTAAGCAGGGTTGGTCCTGCTCGAACCCTGGATGGGGGACCAGATGCTGCTGGAAGTAGTGTCGGAGGGCCAGTAGAAGGCATTCTTTCCTCTGGTCTAGAAAAATATCCCAATGCCCCAGGGCAGCGATTGGGGACATTGCCCTGTGTAGGGTCCCGTCTTTCGGACCCTTGCCGGAGTCAAATATCAATATAATATCGTCCACAAATAATATGTAACTACCAATTGTTTTCCCCATCACCAATATACAGTAGGTAAGACAGACTCTTACCTCTCCATATCCACACACCACCACTTGCTTTCCCCCAAACATTACATCAGTGGTCCTCTTCAGACTGGAGGGAGAGAGAAGAAACACAAATCACAGGAAGTTAGCATGACAAATGTTTAAGTCATCCGTAAACAATGGGATTACTCCTGGCCGTCAGCACCCAAAGACAATTACATGTGACAACGGACAATGAAGTAATCTTCTCCTCTGCTTAGAGTAGGGCATGTCAGAGTTGTCCTACCCGTCCAGGATGGACTCCCTGCAGCAGTAGAGGTTGTCAAACTTCTGCTTGGTCACAGAGTCGTTGACATTCATGGCCGGGACACACAGCTTCCCCGCCTTGGACAGCTGGTACAACCTATACAAAGAGTAGCAACAGAGGGGCATCATAATGAAGCAGTGAAACCTGACACTACCCGTTTTGGCCACTAGATGGAGACATGGCCATAGAAGATAGGCCACTCACTTCAAAACAAACCCCTGACAAAATACTGTTTTTCTCAGTCTAGACAACGAGTCAACTTATAATGAGGTTGTGTGGTGAGTAGTGATCCACCCACCTGTGTACTCCAGTGACGCTCTCCTCCACGATGCCCTTGATCTTCTTGAACATGTTGGGGTATTTCTTATAGATCCAGTGGGTCAGGTCTCCGCCGTCATCTAAGATCTGGAACAGGACACACAATGTGTATTTCTAACTGATCAGGATCATTTACACCGTAAACAAAGTCTGGGTGCCAGTCTGTTACTGAGAGATAGAGGGATTGAGGGTGACAGACGGACGTACCATGTTAGGCTGCCAGCCCTCCAGGTTGACACAGCGATCGATGCACCACCAGAAGTCATCCTCTGACTCGCCCTTCCACGCAAACACAGAGAACCCTGAGAGAGAGAGAGAAATTTGGCACTGCAGCATATTCTTATGAATATCATACCATTTAATTGATTTGATGGGCACTGAGAGAGCCAGCGGTCGTGACAGAGAAAGAGCTCCCACACGACACAGACGCTCAAATGAAGCAGCCCTGTTGACACTCACCTCCCTCAGCCAGAGCAGCTGCCACCTCATTCTGAGTGGAGTAGATGTTACAGGCAGCCCACCTGCACTGAGCCCCCAGGGCAGACAGAGTCTCCATCAACACCTGTACAACACACACAGACCGGACGTTCAGTTAGGACACAGCCAATGGAGACAATTGTGTTCAACGCAAAGCCAGCATTGCTAGCGCTGCTGCTAAAAGATGTGTAAAGCTGGCTTAAGACTAGTGCCATTCAGTACGCCTGTGAGTTGTGGTTCTGAGCAGAAGCGGCAGACACAATGGGCTGAGCGGTGGATGGTGGCGTGTGTGTGTGTGTGTGTGTGTGTGTGTGTGTGTGTAACTCACGGCTGTCTGAGCGGTGATGTGGGTGCAGCCCACCACTTTGGCTCCAGCCAGAGGCTTCTCTCCCTGGGCTCTCTTCCTCAGGGCCATGAGGGCTGGCATCTCTGTGTGGAGGAGAGGTTATTTTTGACACAACATTACTACAAAACCATTGGTCCTGTTCCAATACTTTAAAAAGGCATCCTTCTCTGTATAATCTTTAAAATGCTAAATAAATAAATAAATAATCAAAAAATGGATCCCCTTGCTTAAGCGTGGTTAATCAAAGTTAGCTGGCCAATGTGCTTTGGGAACCCTGCCAGATGGTGGAATCTTTCCCCTCTGGGTTCTGTTGCTCTGTCAATGGTCTGTCACCTAGACATTCAGAGCTTGAGCCATGTGTGTAACACAATAGAAAATATATATACAGTGTGTGCAAATGTAGTAAGTTATGGAGGTAAGGCAATAAATAGGCCATAGTGAAAAAGAATTACAATTTAGTATTAACACTGGAGTGATAGATGTGCAGAAGACGATGTTCCCATGGGGGGCCAGTATGAAAAATAAAAAAAATAATGTATGCACTCACTAACTGTAAGTCGCTCTGGATAAGAGCGTCTGCTAAATGACTAAAATGTAATGTAAAAATGTAAATGTGCAAATAGAGATACTGGGGTGCAAATGAGCAAAATAAATAACAATATGGGGATGAGGTAGTTGGGTGGGCTAATTACAGATGGGCTGTGTACAGGTGCAGTGATCGGTAAGCTGCTCTGACAACTGATGCTTAAAGTTAATGAGGGAGATAAGTGTCTCCAGCTTCAGAGATTTTTGCAGTTCATTCCAGTCATTTGCAACAGAGAACTGGAAGGAATGGCGGCCAAAGGAGGTGTTAGCTTTGGTACCTGCTGGAACGCATACTACAGGTGGGTGTTGCTATGGTGACCAATGAGGTAAGATAAGGCGGGGTTTTGCCTAGAAGTGATAAGGCCTACCGAGCCAGGGCTATCTGAGGTCAGCTGTATATAGACTTAGAAAACTTGAAAGTGTTGTACATTTACATTTACGTCATTTAGCCTGCAGTACAGACTGCGGTCAGCTGTACAGACAGAGTTAGGGCTATCTGAGGTCAGCTGTACAGACAGAGTTAGGGCTATCTGAGGTCAGCTGTACAGACAGTGTTGGGGTTATGTGTTGAGTAGTAGACAAGGCTATGTATGATATGCAGTATAGACACTTGGGATTATGTGGAACCAGTGGTGCAGTACAGACACGTAGGACTGTGAGTGGTCAGTGATGCAGTACAGACACGTAGGACTGTGAGTGGTCAGTGATGCAGTGCAGACACGTAGGACAGTGAGTGGTCAGTGGTGCAGTACAGACATGTAGGGCTGTGAGTGGTTAGTGGTGCAGTACAGACACGTAGGACTGTGAGCGGTCAGTGGTGCAGTACAGACACGTAGGACTGTGAGCGGTCAGTGGTGCAGTACAGACACGTAGGACTGTGAGCGGTCAGTGGTGCAGTACAGACACGTAGGACTGTGAGTGGTCAGTGATGCAGTACAGACAAGTAGGACTGTGAGTGGTCAGTGGTGCAGTACAGACACGTAGGACTGTGAGTGGTCAGTGGTGCAGTACAGACACGTAGGACTGTGAGTGGTCAGTGATGCAGTACAGACACGTAGGACTGTGAGTGGTCAGTGGTGCAGTACAGACACGTAGGACTGTGAGTGGTCAGCTGTGTGTCCTGTTGGGTTTCAGCAGAGGATGGCGTGTCCCATCACAGTGTGCTTGATTGGGTCTTAGTGGAAGAGGCCTGTGGCCCCCTGCTGTGTATCTCACAGGCTGGGAACACACCATCACAGAATCACACTCTCTCATTTTACATTTTAGTCATTTAGCAGACGCTCTTATCCAGAGCGACTTACAGTTAGTTAGTGCATACATTATTTTTTATTTCTTTCATACCCCCTGTGGGGGACCCACAACCCTGGCGTTGCAAACACCATGCTCTATCAACTGAGCTACATCCCTGCCGGCCATTCCCTCCCCTACCCTGGACGACGCTGGGCCAATTGCGCGCCGCCCCATGGGTCTCCCGGTCGCGGCCGGCTACGACAGAGCCTGGATTCGAACCAGGATCTCTAGTGGCACAGCTAGCACTGCGATGCAGTGCCTTAGACCACTGCGCCACTCGGGAGACTAGCTCGGGAGACTAACTCTCTCTCCCTCTCTCACACACACATCTTCCACCTTGCCACACACACCTCTAGCCCTAACCCACCTTGCTCAGCGATCTCGATCTCCCTGCGTCCGAAGTCGGCCTGCTTGATGTTCTTGATGCAGAAGTCTCCGTTGCCCTTGGAGTTCTTCTGCTGCTTGTCCCGAGGAGAGGTCTCATCGTCAGAGCTGTCCGTGTACGACGCAGCTAAAAGAGAGAGCAGGACAGAGAAGAGAGGATTCAGAGTACAGGACAGGACACAACACACACGCAACAGCACGTCTACACACACACTCAACAGCAGCACGCGAGCTGCACACACACACACACACACAATAATGCACATTCAACATGCCCTCAGGATATAGACATTAAACTAACAACATACGTGACCTGACCACACACTAGGCCACAATCTACTCTGATGTCCAAAACAACTGCATAGCTCACATTATGAGCTATATCTAAGGACTGAGCCCCAGGGCAGGGCAGAATACACCTGCAGAGCATGGGCGTCTACATACTAGGTTCGGTTTGATCCTAGCAGAACTCGGCTAGGCAAAGTGAACATCTGTGCTACACATACTCAGTTAAAAGACCTTCGCTTGAAAAACAAGAAAAAAGTGGCAATGGTACTGTTTGTCCATCTTGAGACGCCGTAGCCGGTATACACTTCCTCAAAATAGTCAGAATTAATCTAAGATAATTCAAGAAATCTGTCATTCATTTTGAAGTTTTTGCCGGGGAGATCTTAGTCATGCAATTTTACATCCATCTTTTGGTTAGATGCAGTATTTCTCAAGAGAAACAATGTGCGTGAAAACAGGTCGTATCTCATTGAATGACAACAAACACTTAATTGAAGAATGCCTACTGTTGACCAATCACCGACGAAGGGCGTAGATGTGTGTGCACGAACAGCCGAAAACACCATTGCTGAAGACTAAAACAAACAAAAATGGCACAAAATATCATAATATATCTACGAACTGTTTCAGATGGGAAGCATGTGAACACCTTAAGCCGAATTACAGCTCTCCCACAGCGTGTGTGTGTGTGTGTGTGTGTATGTGTGTGGTGTGTGCGCACTCAAGGCCCAGGGCTGGGACAGAGAGCATGTGAGCGGGAGAGAGAGAAAGACGGAAAGAAAGAGACAGAGGGAGAGAGAAGGGTGAGTCAGGACACTGACTCAGTTGACTCTTTCTGTGGGAATAATTACAGCAACCACAGAGCTGAGGGCTGGGGATTACAGGGCTGGGGATCAGGAAAGAGAGAGTAGCCAGTGGGGGAGAAAGAGAAAGGGAGAGAGGGGGGGGGGACAGAATGCAATGAGGTACAGTGAGAGGACAAAGAAGAAAGGAGAGAGAGTGGACTTCTGAGGCATTTGGGCGAAGCGGCCGGTGAGTGTGTCTGTGCGTGACATTCAAAAAGATGAGGAACAGCCAGGTAGGTTGTGAGGGACATCTCAAAATCACTTCACGAGTGGACGAATGAGAGGCCACATAGGGGATTGCCAGTCACACCAGGGATGCGGTCTTTCACAATTCTTTCCTGACAAACATGTTTACAACACTGGTTGTAACATGCCCTTTTTAAGACACGCAGGACTGACAGGCCCCTCCTTATCCTACTACAGAGCCATTCCCAGCGCTTCAGTGGTAATGTCACCTCTCCTCTCTCTTTCTCCCCCTCTCTTGAAAGGGGCCTATAGTAGCCCTGGGAACAAGCAGGAGTGGGAAAAGCAGGTGATCAGGACTACTAGTATAGTGGGAATGTTCCCTCTCCTCTACCTTTCTCTCACCCTCTGACTTCCTCTCTCCCTCTCTTTTATGGACCCCCAACCTTAAAATCGGCTTACACTGGCATGCCTGCCAGAAAAAGAAAAAAACCTATCTCAAATTTTCACAAGGACATTGGTGTGTGTTGCTGCAGTTCTTATTCACTGGAACACAGTGTTAGAAACTAGAGAGAACACTAGCAGCTCTCTGTGGCCTGTATCGTCTCCTTCCTCTTCATCCAGTTATACGTTACAGAGAACATTCCTGCTCCCTACATATCTGGAAATAGACTCAGTGTGATACTGGATACTGTACCTGGGCTGTGATTAGAGTTAGGCACAGGGTGTGTGTGGGGGTTTGTGAGTGTGTCAGGTGTGTGTGTGCGCGTGCATATTCTCGGTACCTGAGCCATAGCTGTCTGTGGAGGACTGGGAGATGGATCGGGACAGAGAGCGGCGGCCGATCTTGGTGGGACGTTTGTTGAACTCCTGTTTCTGGTCCGCAAACTGGATCTGCTGGCAGAGAGGGAGGAATGAGACCACAATGCCCACACAAGCACCAATGTCCAACCTCCAACACCCAGTCAAAAACTAAAAATGCAGTAACTCCTTCCCTGATATACTTTGTTCTTGTTGGCCCCTTGCACATCTTAAAGGAAGTATCAGATGGGTATAGCCTAAGCAATATGATAACCGTAGCACTCAAGGCTATGTAGAGTTCCCACCATTTATCCACATCAGGTTCTGTAAGATCTATTAGGGGTGTGGAGGCATCAAGTGTCTACGGGTTAGGGGCTAGCGATTGATTTAGCACAACAGTTCATTGCTAAGGTCTGAATTGAGCCTAGTCAGCTAGACTCTACATACAGTGAACAACCAAATGGTTACATCACGATTTATCTGCAGTAACATCGTTAGATCTACATTCTACTAACAGGCTAGAGCCAGAGAGGCAGCTTTGGTTTGGATGGAATATGACGTTAATCCTGCTGCTGGTAATATTGGTGAATTACTTACTGGTGCCATAAAACCAGCAACAAGGACACAGTAACTTAATGGAAAAATAAAACAGCCAGCGTTAACATATGTGATCGTGATAAAAAGCATATTAATCTCAGTGATGTAGAGCGGTGTTGTTGAATGAATATGTAACACTATACAATCTGGACAAATCACTCCAAATATGAGCCCAGGGAGATTTCACAGATAAAAATAGGATTTTGCAGCACCAAAAGAGTTGAGTTATTTTTCTGTTCATGTAGTTCTTCTTTAATCTTATCCGGTTTCGTTTTCCAAGCACCTGGACTACACTTCAATGTGTGCGAACATTCCGCTTATCATCTGAGTGCAAAACAAATCGTAAACAGTCTAATGAGTGTGTGTACGCACAAACACTGACACAGGACACAGTCACGCTGAAATACGCCCACAGAATGTCTGAAGAACATCCAGAGTACCAGATGTGTCTGTTCACCTCTCTATACAGGAAGCTGCGGCATGACTACTGAGAGACAGAGAGGGAGTGGGAGGGAATCGTGGATGTGCAATCTGAATTTAACACCACCAACCAGACAAATGGATCTGAGTCATGGGAGAGACAAAGGTCTTGCATACTCATGATAGTGAGTCAGGTTTTTCAAGTATCCACTCGGTTCCCTCATCATGGCTTCCTTCCTCTTCACTCAGAGGGAGAGGCATGGCTGGTGGAATTGGTTTTATTTGGATCCCCATTAGCTGTTGCAGAAGCAGCAGCTACTCTTCCTGGGGTCCACACGTGGTATTATATTAAACACTGGTATTACAGCCCTTCATGGTAACTGAGTCGCACTGACCAAACGTATATACACAGTCCTCAAACCGGCCACTCTCAAACGTCTCTTTCTCTCCTTCTCCCTTACACACCCACCATACAGTGCTCGGACACAAGTCTGCGTCTGCCAACCAAACAAATGCAGAACAAGCAGAAAAAGTCACCAGCAATGAGGCCCAAGACAATAAGATCCATAAACGCCTGTACACATCTGTAGATTGAATTGCATCTTCTACCGAAGCCTGTCAGTCCCAACCTAATCCATCCTCCTCCTCCTCGTGTCTTACCTTCCTCCTACTGGGTTCACCTCCACTGTCGTCATCCTTCTTCTTCGACAACATGACTCAGTGGAGCGGTGTGAGGTGAGGAACGGTGTTTGGACTAGAGGGCGTGTGTCTGGAAAACTAGCAGTTATGGGCCTGGTCCATTTATGCCCTCTATTTACCCAGAATGCTTTACCCCGATCCAGCCCTAACTGGTCCGGACTGTCACCCATGTGCTGTGCCTCAGAAACAATGCAGAATTGTTCCCCACTCTCCCTCTACTTGTTTAATTGTTAATTGTTCACAGGCTGGATTGGATTGGGGATTCGTTATCACGGCCAACAACCATGTGACCCTGAATGGCTCTTGGCTGGGGACTATTGAGGTCATCCACAGCAGACCGGTGGACCCAGGGTGAAATGGTAGGAAGCTGTATTTTGGAGGGGATCAGGACAGTGGGTTCTGCCAAGGAGAGTCCCTGGGCTACCACCACTGGGACGGACAATAGAGTCTTTGTGTAACTGATTAGGCCGATCTGTGCGTGTTTGTGTGAGACCAAGACTGCTGTACTAGAAAATAATGTAGACTATAGGCCATAGAAGAAATATAGGCCTACAGGATCTCTATGGTGGTAGTTTACAATAGACAATGCCCACTTGCCCAGCAGTGAGAGATCACATAACATCAAAGGTTTGGCTTCATTTCTTGCAAAACATTTCAATCTGTTACTTGTTTCAATCAAAGTTCAAACCAAGGGTCACTGAGGGGCAACGACAGGAAACAGATTTCAAACTTGGCCATCCGACTTGCTCCTTATGCCAGATCGTCATGCAAGTGTCTGACGGAAACGGACTGCTTGGACATGTGCCTCCTGAGCAAACTCCTCTGCGCCATCCAACACAAACACAAACAACCATGACATTTGGGTCTAAGAGGTTTCATAGGGCAGGAGTAAAGGATTCAGGGTCAGTAAACAAAGCATTAATCCAACAGACTTAATCAAGGATTTCGACCTGTGTAATCAGACACACTGGCTGAATGCTGACACATTCCAGGAGAACTAACTGTGTTGGTTATAAAATAAATAGGAGATAGAATGCCAAGAATGGGGACTGTGGCAATTGATAACTTCCATTGAATAATATGTGTTAGACAAGGTCAGTACCAGAATATAAGTGAGGCTGACATGCATGATCAGTGTTTGGACATTCAATGAATGCATGAGCAAACACAGGCTTATGAATGAGTTCCATTTCGAATGTTAATATCCATCCACCACTACATTGAGGAGACCATGTTGTTATTATTGCAGATAATGTGAATTGATTATATGCTATTCAAATACACTCCCCTTGTTTCCTCGAATGATCATATGTTGCTCTAAAAGCCAATTTATGCTTGATCCGAAAATGTGGTCGGAGGCTTCGTATGGAGGGTGTGACACAATTGCGGAGATTCCGGAGGCATGCAGAGTCCAAATCACACTCCGTACCGCAACGCGCCTCTCAAATTTTGTGGAGGGCTCCGTATAGCTCCGCAATGACATGATTGGTTAACGGTAGGTGGGGGGGCGGTACATCCTGTATAAACACAAACTCACTTCCTTCACAACAGCTCTGCTCTGCTAAGCGCAAGAAGTATGAAAGCCCTGACGTCTGCGGCGGCTGCATTGCAGTAAATGCTGTACGGCCACTTCAAACGTCGGATTGCCCATGCTCACAGCTGCATGCATTGCATTAGCATAACATGTGAGTGAGAGATGATGGTTATGCAAGAAAGAAAGAGAGAGAGGGAGGGAGGACCACAGACTGCTAGCAGGGTACAGGGTAAACTGCCTCCCTGCCCTATAGCAGCATTCTGGCCCTGCACTAGGATTACCTAACCGGGTTAAACCAGACTGAACGCTGTGCCCACCATTGTAGTGAAACAACAGTGAAACGTAGGGAAAACAGTTTGGCTAAGGATTATCAGCAGTGCATGATGAAAACTGGATAGCCTACATTTCCTGCGGAACAGTAAAACGCATTGATCACCGAGCAGAGGGAGGAGTTGTTTCAACAGATTGGAGGATAATATTATTGACTGTAGTGGGGAAGACCATTCATCTAGAAATATGAACTGCTGCAATTCATCTTGATCACTGACACGAGAGAGCAACCATGTGGATCTCTCCAATGCGGCTAAGGGAATACTCATAGCTAGGCCTAATTGTCCATATTAGTGCATGAAATAGATTAATCAATTTCTATACCACCAGTAACCATTGAAGTAGGATTGGGATTGGACTGGACCAATGATTCCTCTTAATCCCACATCCAGGATGAGACATGAGACAGGGCAGGGGTCCCAGAGAGAGAGAGAGAGAGATCAAAGCCTTCTGTGGTGCACTACCAATGCTGCATAGTAGTAGTGAATACTAGCCTTCTCTCTCCCTGCATCCTACTGCAGAGTCTGCATTAACGGTATTAACCTTGCAGAACTGCACAGCACATAATACATACATTATGCATGTTCAGTGATTGCAAGGCTAATGAGAGGTGAATAATAGATGCTAACCCAACACTGCCTAACAGAGCCCACGGTCACCAAAGCCTGCCACCTCTCACTGGAGCAGGGCATGGCTATGCGGTATGGAGTGTGAACCACCAGGCGCGATGCGGTATGGAGTGTGAACCATCAGATCCTCCTCTCCACCCTCTCCGAGCTGGGCATCTCCGGCGCGGCTCACTCCTGGATTGCATCCTACCTGACCGGTCGCTCCTACCAAGTGGCGTGGCGAGAAGCTGTCTCCGCACCACGTGCTCTCACCACTGGTGTCCCCCAGGGCTCAGTTCTAGGCCCTCTCCTATTCTCCCTATACACCAAGTCACTTGGCTCTGTCATATCCTCACATGGCCTCTCCTATCATTTCTACGCTGACGATACACAACTAATCTTCTCCTTTCCCCCTTCTGATAACCAGGTGGCGAATCGCATCTCTGCATGTCTGGCAGACATATCAGTATGGATGACGGATCACCACCTCAAGCTGAACCCTGGCAAGACGGAGCTGCTCTTCCTCCCGGGGAAGGACTGCCCGTTCCATGATCTCGCCATCACGGTTGACAACTCCGTTGTGTCCTCCTCCCAGAGTGCGAAGAGCCTTGGCGTGACCCTGGACAACACCCTGTCGTTCTCCGCTAACATCAAGGCGGTGACCCGATCCTGCAGGTTCATGCTCTACAACATTCGGAGAGTTCGACCCTGCCTTACACAGGAAGCGGCACAGGTCCTAATCCAGGCACTTGTCATCTCCCGTCTGGATTACTGCAACTCGCTGTTGGCTGGCCTCCCTGCCTGTGCCATTAAACCCCTACAACTCATCCAGAATGCCGCAGCCCGTCTGGTGTTCAACCTTCCCAAGTTCTCTCACGTCACCCCCCTCCTCCGCACACTCCACTGGCTTCCAGTTGAAGCTCGCATCCGTTACAAGACCATGGTGCTTGCCTATGGAGCAGTGAGGGGAACGGCACCTCTGTACCTTCGGGCTCTGATCAGTCCCTACACCCAAACGAGGGCATTGCGTTCATCCACCTCTGGCCTGCTGGCTCCCCTTCCTCTGCGGAAGCATAGTTCCCGCTCAGCCCAGTCAAAACTGTTCGCTGCTCTGGCACCCCAATGGTGGAACAAGCTCCCTCACGACGCCAGGACAGCGGAGTCACTCACCACCTTCCGGAGACATTTGAAACCCCACCTCTTTAAGGAATACCTGGGATAGGATAAAGTAATCCTTCTACCCCCCCCCCCCCCCCCAAAAAAAAGTGTAAAGTGGTTATCCCACTGGCTATAGGGTGAATGCACCAATTTTTAAGTCGCTCTGGTTAAGAGCGTCTGCTAAATGACGTAAATGTGCCCTTGAGCAAGGCACTTAACCCTAATTGCTCCTGTAAGTCGCTCTGGATAAGAGCGTCTGCTAAATGACTAAAATGTAAATGTAAAAATGTTGCCTAGAGGAACCTGGTCAATGTTGGCCAGCCAGCCAGGCAGAATCACAAGCACACCCATGGCCCAAACGACCATCCCGTGCCACATTTGTAGTGTCTGGGGAAGACAGGTGCCAGGTGCCCCCTCAGCCCAGACAGGTGTCTGCATTGGCAAGGTTGCATCACCAGGTGGCAGTGTGTTCGCTTGGCAAGGCGGGCTTTGGAAGTTGTGTAACATGACTGACTGGCCGAGACCACCAAAGGTGAGGTCTCATTAAGCAATAAGGCCCACGGCTAAGGGCTGTTCTGAGGCACATTTCGGTCGTGCCTAAGAACAGCCCTTAGCCGTGGTATATTGGCCATATACCACAAACCCCCGAGTTGCCTTATTGATATTATAAACTGGTTACCAACGTAATTAGAGCAGTAAAAAGTAATTTTTTGTCATACCCATGGTATACGGTCTGATATACCACGGCTTTCAGCCAATCAGCATTCAGGGCTCGAACCACCGGGGTTTAATTGTGGTTATATACTTTATTATTATTGTGCTCTAGTCATACACATTCAGTGGCCAGTTTATTAGATACACTCATCTAGTACCGGGTCAGACCCCCCTGTAGCAATTATTTTTTTTTTTTTTTTTTTTTACCTTTATTTAACTAGGCAAGTCAGTTAAGAACAAATTCTTATTTACAATGACGGCCTACACCGGCCAAACCCGGATGACGCTGGGCCAATTGTGCGTCGCCTTATGGGACTCCCAATCACGGCCGGTTGTGATACAGCCTGGAATCGAACCAGGGGGTCTGTAGTGACGCCTCAAGCACTGAGATTTAGTGCCTTAGACCGCTGCGCCACTTGGGAGCCCAATGAAGGGATGTACCTGGTCAGTTCAGATATGTTCAGATATGCTGTGGCTTTCAAACGTTGCTCAACTATCAAGGGGCCTAACGTGTGCCAGGAACACATTCCCCACACCATTACACCACCAGCCTGTACCATTGACACCAGGCAGGATGGGGCCATGGACTCATGCTGCTTACGTCAAATCTTGACTGCCATCAGCATGACACAACAGGAACCGGGATTTGTCGGACCAGGCAATGTTTTTCCACTCCTCAATTGTCCAGTGGCCGGCCTGTTAGCTTGCACTAACGTTCAATCGAACAGTAACTGAAGGCCTCGATGCCTGTCTGCCTGCTTATATAGCAAGCTACGGCCACGGTATTGTCTGTAGTAGCAAACCATTTGTGAATAAACTGGCCACTGAGTGTATATTAGCCATAATACTATAGTATACTGGAAGAGCATGAGGCCGACATGTGTGTTGCTCCAGGCCCAGCCTCACTAGGGTCGGCTGCAGGGTAAGCTGTTCCAGGGCGAAGCCACAGAGCAGAGTGACACCCACTGAGCAGCCAGCCTCCATGGGGTCTGAAACTCTGGAAAGAGTTCCAGCGAGAAGAGGGACTTCAAACAACACAGAGCACCAGGCTACAGTCCTGAGAAAAATAAACAGGCATATATGTGATCAGATGTGATACTGTGGAATCACACCAGGCAGAATCCATGGTTCAAACAGAGAGAATGGAAACAGACAGGGAGGGAGGTGCCGGAGACACATGGGACCAGTACAGGCCTGGACGGATGATACTGGGTGGGTTGGAGGACTATGAGAAAGGGAGAGGGAACGAGAGCAAGGAAGAATGAAGACAAGACAGGAAGAGGAATTCAACGTTTGAGAGAGGGAGAGTGAAAGGAGGAGTGAGAAATTGAAAATAAAAGAAATAGGGAGAGAAAGAGAGAGAGTGAGTACAAGACAAATGTACTAAAAGACTATGTACTACGACACCAGCCTGTGCAAATACTCTGCACACAGTTGGAGTATGTGTGTGAGAGGCGTCAGAACTCTGGGCTTCCATCCCTGCAGCTGACAGGCAGTACTCTTTGTGATATTCTGCCAACACTAGCTACAGACTGTCCTCTGCTCTGGTTGGAGGGCTCATAGCTGGATGGGGAGAAGTGGAGTGTCAGGCCATCCTGATTCCTGACATGACAGCACATCAGCTGGATCAGACCAGGAAAAATACACAAACCTCTTGAAGCAATAAAGGGAGGCCAGGGCATGTCGAGAGAAGATAAAAAAAACGTAAAGATGTACTCTTTTCAGCATCAGCAATAGCTTTTCATTAGGTCAGAGTACAGCGCGTCAACCCCAACCCGAGTCAGTCTGTTTCAGAAAGTAGGCTGGCCCTCTGAAGGCTCGTAGATCGATGCATTGCACTATTTTTGTTTATAAAGCCCTCCTGCATAAACTTCAGACGTACCTTTCATCATTGTTAACTTAGACGTACGAGAGAAGACTCCGTCTCAGGGATGGCTATCCCTTCGATCTCCACTGAGTTAGGTAAATCTGCTTTAAGGTTTTTTGCACCTTACTCGTGGAAAAATCTGCAAGGCACTCTAAAATTGGATGAATTGGTGCCTCTAGGGCAATTCAACAAGGCTGATTGAGGACCTTTTTACTGAAGAATGTGTTTGTTGTCTATGACTGTTTTGCTTTTCGAGTATTGATGTGAATATTGACATGTATAGATGTAAAAGAAAAGGAAGAAAAAGGAGCATGGTCTCAGCATGACTCCCTGTCAAAATAAAGGTTGAAAATAAAGTGATTGTACACATTCTGTTTCCCACCAACACCTAGGTATTATCTAAAGACAACTTTATAGCTACAATTGCTCTCCCTCCCTCCCTCCCTCTCCATGAAGGACTGTATTCAGCGGGAAAACACTAGTCCGACTAAGTTCACTTCCAGTCCCCTTTACTCATCCACAACCAGAACTAACAATGCATTCAGAGAGGTACCACAAAACAATGCACCCAGAAGCATTGATATCAATAATGCGGCAATCATTTGGTGCAGATGACAATGATAAGCCTGTATGTGGAGCCCACACCGGCATGACATGCAATATAATTGAGTCAGCGTAACGTGATGCCCTGAAGGAAGTTTGAACACTGAGGAGAGCAGGCCTTTGTAACAGGAGCCTGGGAACTAGCCTTCCCCAGACAGAGCAGGGTGGAGCCCACACCGGCAGACATGAGATGGGGGAATGCACGCAAAGGGCTGGGTGATCACTGCTTAAGCGCTGATCTGCAATGTAATGATTGACTGCATGAGAAGTCTGTCCACTGAAACTGACCAGATCCTAAGATGCTCTGTCATTTTCAAGGATAGAAGAAGTTGGTGACATGCGCAGCGGTCTAAGGCACTGCATCTCAGTGCTTGAGGCGTCACTACAGACCCCCTGGTTCGATTCCAGGCTGTATCACAACCGGCCGTGATTGGGAGTCCCATAGGGCGGCGCACAATTTGCCCATTGTCGTCCGGGTTTGGCCGGTGAAGGCCGTCATTGTAAATAAGAATTTGTTCTTAACTGACTTGCCTAGTTAAATAAAGGGTATATGACGCCAGGACAGCAGAGTCACTGACCACCTTCCGGAGACACTTGAAACCCTACCTCTTTAAGGAATACCTGGAATAGTATAAAGTAATCCTTCCCCCACACAAAAAAAAAATAATAATTCAAAAACAAACAAAAAAAGAAAGTGGTTGTCCCACTGGCTATCATAAGTTGAATGCACCAATTTGTAAGTCGCTCTGGATAAGAGCGTCTGCTAAATGATGTAAATGTATAAAATAAAAAAATAAAATATTGAGTGAGTGAGTGAGGCATTTAAAATATATCTCCCAACATCCTCTGCCAATTTCCCACTCCATATCATGTTGCCAAACTTAACAAACATGGGAAGACAAAACCCAGGATTTTTTAATCAGTTACCGCCCTCGGTGAAGAAGTTTGACCTTTCAAACAATGAGGCAATGAAAAGCACCAGAACAGAGCGCGGGACCGAACTGAACTGAGTGAACTTTGATGTGGTGAGGTTTTTCCCGCTTTGGAGACACAAAGGTGAAGTCAGTTGACGAGCTGAAGGGAAGGGAAAACTCAGTCCCTAACAGATTGTTAAGTAAACAGAGGCTAGTCCAATGGGCCGCCGCAGACGGTGATACGTCTTTGAGAAAGATGACATGGATTGCGCTGTCTCTAAGGCATGGCACAGCCAGGACAGGCCATTCCTCAGAGTCCTTTACTCTCAGAGAGCTCACAGATCAGTTTGTTACAGCAGAGGAACATTGTGCCTTTGTGAAATCCAGGGAAAATACAGTAGATGGGAGTGAGAGAGAGAGACGGCTTATTGTCTTTGATTCCAGGGGAGGGAGGATATCCCTCTGTGTGTGTGTGTGTGTGTGTGTGTAAACTGATCCTTGCGTGTGAAGTGTGCATACTCCAATGTGGCCCTTGAGCTGTTCAGAGACACATCCAGAGCAGGCCCTATGTGTGTGTACTCAGCTGTAGTGACAGGGGTTGGAGCCTGGACTGCTACAATGTGGATGGTGGGGGAGTGGTTGCTTCAACAAATAAACCAGACCCAGTCTTAACTGGGCTATAAGAGGAACACAAGTATGTGATTGAGCTGTGCTTTGGTTTTAAGAGATCCCAAATCTGTCTTTAGGACATGGTTATCACATTAGGCTAGATCTTTAGTGCGTGTAAAATCTGACTGTGAAAGGTAACGAAGGGTGAGATAATTAGGCCTACTGAGAAGAGATTGTCGACACCATAAGTCTCTCTGGCTAAGTTGAGGAGAGTCTTGGCAGGGTAGGCTGAGGACAGCCTGGCATGAGTGTCCTATTGTTCTCATCAGAACAGTCTTCAAACGATTGAGCCGATCCGCCTCTTACTGCCCATTTTAGATGATACTGGTCAAAACTAACCATAATGCTACATCCCCCCCAGGAATTTACCCATTAACTACAAGTTACTGAGTTTCCTTCAAGAATAACATCTCACCAACTTACTGCTGCAGACTCCCTCAGAGTCTTATTGGCGGTGGGTGCTTTAGTTAGAGAATCTTTGAAACCTAGAACCACAACAAACCTGAACATCTAGACTCATTCCGGAAACTTCTGTTTTCTTCCTTTAAGTTGTACCAGCTGCTGAATCCCACGTACAATGTGCGCATCCAACAAGTCTGATGATCCATTCATGACACTGGCCTGACACCTCGGTTTGAGGACGTGGGATCTTACACATTCTTTTTCTAAATGATGCCTATTATTCAAAGGGTTTTAATGGAGATGGGAAGGACACTGGGACAAGCCACACCATGTTCAGAGGAAAATATAGCTTCAGGCTTTAATAGAAGGGTCATACAGTACATCTCCATCGGTACTCGAGTTGAAATGATGCCGTTTATGATGTTAGAGCAGAGTTTATGTAATTATATAGGCTACAGCTCTGCACATGCTCCACTTTTCCACAGATTCTCACAAATCTGCAAAGTTAAAAGTTACCCTGGTTAGCCTCCATTAGAATCTGTTTCAAGAGACCCATGGTTCATAAACCTACCATCGCCATCCACCCAATACTTAACTGACTTGAGTCAGTCAGAGCAAAAGAGACATTCAAACTGATGCAAGGTTGTCAGTAGTCAGCCAGAGGAAAGAAGGAAGTGTTCTCTGTGGCGCAGTGGTCTAAGGCACTGCATCACAGTGCTAGCTGTGCCACTAGAGATCCTGGTTTGAATCCAGGCTCTGTCGTTGCCGGCCGCGACCGGGAGACCCATGGGGCGGCGCACAATTGGCCCAGCGTCGTCCAGGGTAGGGGAGGGAATGGCCGGCAGGGAGAGCATGGCGTTTGCAACGCCAGGGTTGTGGGTTCGATTCCCACGGGGGGCCAGTATGAAAAATAATGTATGCACTCACTAACTGTAAGTCGCTCTGGATAAGAGCGTCTGCTAAATGACTAAAATGTAAATTCTCTATAAAGGGAGCAACCACATGCTGTTAGTCCCCTCAGACCTTACTCAGGCTCTCTTCACAGGGGAGTTGGCTACTCTCATAGGCAAACAAGTTCTTGGAACAGACTGTCCAGGAGTCAGATGCTTTGTGGTTTGCCGAGATACAAATCAGGTCACCGTCACGTGGCGGCAGCTTTCGACAGCACAGAGATTGAGGGCCCATTTTATGAATTCAGCTTCTAAATGCTAAACAAAAACAAATGGACTGGCGAAAGATCAGGGTCAGGGATATAAAATGGAGAAAAGATTAATGGTGGTCATAAAATCCGGAATTCCGGATTGTTCAGAAAAAAGAAAGAAATCTCATGTGTCGACTGCAGGGTGAGGTCTGACACTTCTGAATGTTATGACTCCTATTTTTTCAGACACACGTTACTTTGTGTCAACATCATGTTTCCATCCGCCACGCCATATCACTTGCAAGACAGGGCAGGCACCAAACCATTCACTGGCTAGCAACATTTGTGACAGTGAGGTTAATGTCTGTCAACAAACAGGTGAAATGGA